TTTCGATTAATAATCCACTGCACAGACTGGACGCGCCGGTTAGATTCAGAGATTGTTACGGGGATTAAATTTATATCTCAAGAATGTAAAATCAAATTTGCAATTATGGCATTTGCCGACATCTTCCAAGGTTCACTACTGCTCCTACAATCTCTTTTTCATTTTACTTAAGAAATCTGTTTATTTTTTATAAATTGTACGTGTAATAATTTTATTGATAAAAACATACTGCGATTCTTTAGAAAAGAAACATTTATTTCGAATTGGGAAAATTACTTTGTACGTTATTTATAATAAATTGTTTTTTATTATAGAAATTAAGTACAATAATATTTTATTTTTTATATTATATTTTATCATTTGTACTCAATTACTTTTTGTACTCAATTTCTACAATAAATACATATAAGATAACTTAAAGAGTAACTCACAAAGTAACATTCCCAATCCTGCATTTATTGTAATGAAATAATTGTTGTGGAATTTGAAATTTAATTGATCGAAAACTGACGATCGCCGCGATTTTTGATCCCTACTGGAAAAGCATTCGTCCGTAATTTCATGCCTGTAATTCGTCGATAAGGTCTACGACGCGTCATATAGAAAAATACGGTACGATCCGTTTTAGTATCATCCGTTTTACAGGTTTTATCCGTTTTACATTTCAATAATTCTATTGGCGATTGAACTCCTTTAGAACAACATTTCATATCGCGCACACACGCGGGTGATTTATTAGCCAATTGCATGCCTCATAATTCAATCACATGATATATAAAATCATGTTTTATCTTTACATTAACAATGCATAATGTAGGCGTTTGTTTAACGAAATAATTCGTAAATCAATAAGTGATTTCTCTTTGTAGGGATATCTGTTTTTGATCTTCCATAATAGCATAAAATTGTCGCACGAATATTTGTATATTAAATTGAAATATATGATTGATAAAATCCTCGTTCGATGCGTCAGCGATTCTGTCGCCCATTCCCAGCGACACGCGTCCACGAAGACGAGATGCAGGGGATTCGCGAATATGTCGCTGATGGAAATTACTCGTTATGCCCTGGAGAATTGCACGCGGGACGTCCGACGATGGGAAGTAAAGCACGATGATAATCGGCGTTAGAAGGCGGATAAACTCTGTTCCCTCTCTTTCCGAATCTTCTCTGACTTCTCTGTTGCCGTATAATGACTAACAATCCCTTCGCACGAGCCGTTGAAACAATGGAAACAATACAGTGATACGAGAAAGCCGGTTTGCATTGTCGGACAAACCACAGACAGGGCTCCTCATTTTCCCTCCTTTGCGCCCCTTTCTCTTTTCTACCCTATTCGTCTGCATCCACCGCGATCTGTGGTACATCTATATACCATTCATCCGTTCTTCTCTCTGATTCCATCTCACTTTGTGCTATCCAATACCACACAGTCGTTCGCGTTTTGTCTGTTTCTGCACCCGTGGATATTCCGGACTTAACTTTTTCTTCCATCCTTCTCTTCGTTCTTTCGCTCTTCGGAAAGCGCGGAAAGAATCGTACGCCGTTGAATAGGCGTTGATTCCGGAGCGGAGACTGCTCCCTTCGACGCTTCTTCCGCCCTTTATACGCGCGCCGGCAGCACTAAGGATTTTACCTTCTCATTCTTCATCGGCAATTAGTCAGCGATGCTAAGTTCGCCGGTACCGTTATTAGTCGCGCTGACTTTTCGAAATTATGAGGAGTGAAACGATATCTTGCGCGTTACTCGTCGATAAAATGTTTCACAGTCTAAAATATATTACGCGAACGGTTAAAATGTACTGTAAAATAATGCGTCGTTCGAAATTTGAGATATTTAATGTTTTATTTAAACAGGGAAAATATCTATGGAGAGAAAGAGAAAGAGGGAGAAAGAGAAATTTGAAATACATATAGGGAATTATGGTTTAACCATAACATGACGTATTTTTGATAAATTAAATAAAAACACATAAACTCTCTTTGTAGAAATATTTATTTTATATTCTATTTCATTTTTTTATAATAATCCATTTCAATATGAATATAATCGAAGTAAATTCTCCACTTAACGTCCTATAAAAATGTCGTATATAAAGTTGCATGTTTTATAAATGCAAAAAAATATTTGTGTATTATACTTTAAAGTTTTTCCAAAATTTCTATATACTTTTTTATTTTGATCTTTGTGCGAAGTTCTACATAAAAATCCTAGATATCAAATGTCAAATAAGAATATCTATAATATTGTCAAATTATTTCTATTGTGCGCGTGATGTCCGGAAGGAAACCATCGTAGGTTTCTCTTCGAACAACTAATGGCAACTACGTTGTTCCACCAAAGTACCGGGTGCACTGGACGGAACGTGAATAAAAGCGGCACTTGAGGCAAACTAGAGAGAGAGCGAATTCTCGAAGGATGTTGACACAAAACATTATACGGCTGGTCGCCGCACCCTCGATCTCGTCTCGTCTCTTCAATGGCCGCCTAAGAAGCACAAGTACGCGTCTTCAGGGATACGCTTGTGATGATACGTTGAGGGTTGACGTAGTGTCACGCTACGTTCTAGTCTGTCAACGTATCGTTTACAACAACCGACCTGATGATCGTGTTCTCTCCCTCTCCCTCTCCCTCTCCCTCTCCCTCTCCCTCTCTCTCTCTCTCTCTCTCTCTCTCTCTCTCTCGGTTTCGCTGAGTGGCCCCAGAGAGGGTGTGTAGTTGAGTACGTGCCAGAATAGATGCAACCCTTAGCTACGCATTCGCTCGTCCCTCCAGTCATCATCCATTGTTTAGCTATTTTGATGAGCCAACGTATTTCGAGTACGTTCGACGTGACTTGATTCTTGGTCTATTTCCGTAATCGGAATCTGTCATATAATCAAATAAGAACGTAGGATTTTGCAAATTCTTGAAAAGATTTACATGCCGGAGAAACATTGAATCGATCGTACATCATGAAGTTACGAGAACGCGTATCCATCAACGTATAAATAAAAAAAGAGTAAAGTTCGCGCGATTAATCTTTCTGATATAACGCTCCTGTTACGTTCGTAATCCAATCCGATTCAAGAAGAGCCGAGATCAGAGATCCGAGATCATATTTCTGATGTATGCTATCAATCCGGGGAAATTCCCGGAAACGATCGAATCGCTGAGACGATCGATGTACGTCAGAGGATTGTACGGACAGTGGTGGAATTATAATGTGAACCGGGGGAACTCATGGAAGATGAAGAGTTAACTTTTTATGCGAGACACCTTTCCACTCTGCTCTTCCTTCCGCGGGGAAATGATTACGGAGCTCGAGGTGAATGTAGGTCGCAAGATATATCCAATCACAGGTCCGCACTGGCTATTCGAGCGATGCTGGAGTACGCTCAACGTTAAGATTCGAAACTCTGTCGGCTTTGAAGAAAGAGGGGCGGCGAAAGAACGAGAGAAAATGAGAGAGAGAGAGAGAGAGAGAGAGAGAGAGAGGGTGAGAGGGTAAGGCAGGAAGTAAATCTTTGCTAGGTACTACAGCTTTTATAGGAGAGAGTCCACGATTTTCTTTTTCGAGAAAACGATAACTTTCCGGATTCGAACGTGCACGTCCGAGAGACGATGCCGCGAGGGTGGGGAATCCGCCAAGCTACTAGAAACGTTGCCTTGGCTTATAGGAGATAAGTAATCAAGATTTAAGCTCGCCAGGCTGGCGTAAGGGAAGAGAATTGCCAACGTAAGCGCTCATCGGAGACTCGAACCAAAACAACTTCCGACCTCGCTACTTTCGGCTATATTCGGCTACTGAGAGTATCTTGGACTCGAGCCTGCGTCGGGTAGATAAAAGCACGTAATTTTAGTAAAACCAAGCCATCTAACTGTGTATGTGTATGTGTGTGTGTGTGTACTTTGACTTGTAAATTTATAGTTAGAGTATACAAGCCGATAGTATCGTTGATAATTCATGTCGCGACTGCGACTCGCGGGTGCGATAATAATTCTTCTTTTTTTCTCCATAATGCTGCATTTGCGTAATTCGTCCAAAGTTTCGCACGTTGAAACTTTACGCTAAAACGCCGGTGCGCCCCCAAAATTCCTAAAACGCGCTGCCTTTGACGTACTTCGATCGCGATTTCGTCAGAAGCACACGCGGAAACACGCCACGAGAACGCGCACGTCATTCGTTGCACGTTCTGCAACGTGGATAGTCCGCACTTGGTCGAGCCAGCTTCCAGATGAGCAATGCTGGAGGGAATGCGGAATACATCGGGAGCGAACCGGAATTCCTACTTAAATCAACCTAACTGGGTGATGAATGGTTAACAGGCTTCGGCGGGTGAGGAGGGTGACGGGGGGGATCGGGACGTGCAATGCGCTCCATTTATGGAAGCTATTACGGCCGAATTTCAGCGTTAAATGTATGATTTATGGCCGGGCGTATTATCTTCGTTCATGTCCGTCGACGATACCGTGCACGGCCCACCGCCGCTCTTGCCATGCTATCTCAGAAAATTACTTCGTATTCGGCCGGTGCGATGGCGAACGAAAAATCCACCGCCGAATGTCCATTCGTTGACGCTACTGCGTGATTAATGCGTTTCTGATTGTTATTCGTAATACTCCAGAATTTATGGCGCATTAGTTATTACCTCAAAATAAAGCGCTCGCGCGCTGGCTCGAAATCCCTCCGTTCGCATCCGTCCAGGTCCGCGCGAAGATTCGCGACAAGTCCGGATTCCGAGTTCCGGCGAGTTTTCCGAGAATTCGCGAAAGCACCACGGTGGTAATGGAAATTTTAAGCGTATTTAAAGTTGTATGGCGCTGCGGCCGCGGCGTTGCGAAATGAATAATGAAAAAGAAAGGCGGAAGGCAGATATCCGCGAAATATGTATGCTAGGCGGAGAAAGTGCGCGCGCGGAGGGAAAGGAGCGGTAATCTTAATTGAATACAGTTAAGCCGCTTTACGTTTTGCCGTTAATATAACTATCTAACGTTCGTCCTGTTCCTTGTTATGAAGCAGGTATCTCCGACGCCTCCTACGAAATGCAGGGACCCAGCTTCATGACGGAACCGCCGTCAAGGGTGGAGTTCACCAACGTGAACGGCGGCCGGGTGGACTGCACCGTGCGAGGAAATCCACTGCCAACCGTCGACTGGCTCGCGGCGGACGGCGGTAGTATAACGAACATCCTCGGCATCAGGCACGTCCTCGGCAACGGGACGATACACTTCCCCGCGTTCGAGGCCGAGGCCTTCCGGCAGGATGTTCACTGGGCCATTTACAAGTGCTCCGCCGTCAACAGCGTCGGTGCGGTCGTTAGCAGAGACGTCACCGTCAGAGCAGGTATGTCAACCGAGCGAAACTTGCCGAGCTCGTTATCTGCGGTCCGCTTCTCTGCATTATTCCCCGTTGCTTCCCGACATCGTCGACATCCTCCTCGTATTCTACGGAGATCGTGCAGGAGAAGACCTTACGAGTGACGCGTGCGCGTGTGTACCCGCAGACGATGGACTCATGCTTACAGATTCGATCGCCACTTCTGTTCTTCGGACGGTGAGATGAAATTTCCTTCTCGCACACGTTTATGCATCGTATCGGATTATAATCGGCGAACTAAGTAATGGGGCTGTCTCTCCGTCGTGTCACAGCGGAATTTAGAGGATAATGGAATTACTAGATATTGAAATCGCAATTTGATATTTCATTGAAAGAAAATGTTGTAGAGAAATCTTGGAAATAATCAAGTTATTAAGAATTATACAATTTACATTATCGTATTAGACAATTATTGTCGCATCTTGAAAGAATATACAATATATATTATCGTATTAGACATTCATTGAAAAATTAAAGAGCTTTAAATAAGAGAGCTTCTTGCGGTGAACTCTAATGTAATAATTAAGTAACTGAACTAATTGATTTTCGAAAAAAACAATTTTATTTGTCATAATTTGAGGTTTCGAGTATTAGCAAGTTAAATAAGTTACAGTGTTTAATGATAAATGTTCTGCACAGAAGGAATATTTTTGCTAAAGTATCTAAAAATTTAAATAGATATACAGAACTGGAAATAATTCTGTTGGATCAACTATCAAAATAATTATGAGGGCGCTCGAACTGGTTGCTAAAACCAGAAAACTTTTTGCAGCACTGTTCATCATGCTTGAATTCCTAAATAATTATTTTGATGGCCCAACAAAATTATTTTCAGAGCTGTATCTAAATTTTAAAATGTTTCAGAAAAATTGTTCTTTTCGTATACTACATGAAAGTGTATGGAGAAAACTTGGAAGTAATCAAGTTATATTCTGAATTATTCGCACATCGTATGTTAAAAATTCCCGGATGGCACAATTCGTTCTACATATAAATGTTTTATGAACATTTTCCAGAAACTTTGAAATATTCTCAAAAGATATGTATATATAAAGTAAAAGGAACGTTGTAGGAATATTTCTAACATGTTCAATGAGACTGTTTTTGTAATTTTAGAAAAGTTCATGAGTTATAAAAACAGGCTCAATTGAATTTGTAATTTGTACCTTCTTGTATTATAGTTATACTGTTGAAGAAAGTGTGTCGAATGTAATACAAATCGCATGTTTTAAACGATCTACTGAAATTTTTCGGTTAATTTAACACGACATGAATATGTTAGAAGGTTACACAAATATTATGTAACAGAATAAATACAAGAAAAGTAATATTGATACAGTTTGTTAACAAACCGTGGAAGCATATTTTTTTTTAGTAAAATTAACATTTATGTATTAAATTAACCCATATTTTATTTATTTATCCTAGAATTTACATTTTAAAATTCTTTATTTTATGTTATTTGTTCACTTACTCATAAATTATATCGTTTCAATACTAAGAAACTTGAATATTAGTTTAACGCAAAATCTTTACATGATCATATTATCTTAAATCGACATTCGAATCTGTATTAAAAAATTTAATACAAATAGTTGACAAGAACGTGAGTAGACTGCTTCCAACACACATATATAATGTTTTTGTGTAAATTTGAACGTAGCCAATGTTATGTGAAAGACATTAAAGAAGCAAAAAAAGTTGAAATTAATTTGATTACAGTGCAGAAACATGATTAGCGATTGCAAGATTTAGACGTAAATTACTACTCTGTATTACTCCAAATAATGCTCTGTATAAAAAAACTTTCCTATTTTTAAAATATTCAAAATGTTCAATAAAATTTTGAACGTTTTAGGAATAGTTTGCAAATGTTTAGTGCATGTATTCCCGAAGAAAGATATTGGTATTGATATATGTAAAATATTCATAGTTATCTGGATGATGTGTTATCTGGATTAAGACAATTGAAGAATTGTGACAATTTATATTATCGTATCAGACAATTATCGATTAATTAAATAAAAGATCTTTAAAACGAACTAATTTTGCGGTGAAATCTCAAGTAATAATTAAATAATCGAGCTAATTTGATTTTCGATTTAAAAGGGTTTCACTGTGTCATACTTGAAGTTTCTAGTATTAGTGAATTAAGTAAGTTACTGCAAAGAAAGAACGGTTTGCTGAAGTATCGAAAAGTTTAACTAGAGATATAGATCTAAAAATAATTTTGTTAGACTATTAAAATAATTATGTAGGTCAAATTGATCGCTAGAATATCAAAACTGTTCGCAGCATTGCTTATTAAGCTGGAGTTTCCTAAATAATTATTTTGATAGTTCAACAAAATTATTTTTATATTCTAAAATTATTTAGATCTAGATATTTTTAGACTTCAACAAAATTGTTTTTTTCATGTGTAAATATTCATCTTGGTATCAATGGATAAGTGTGTGATCTGATTGAAATTTTTTAAATATTTTGAATATATTGAATTTCCTAACATTTCTCTAAATTTCTTTATGTAAAAGATTTCGCACACAAGAGTCTTCAATATTTATCTGCTTTGTAAAGAAAATAGAGTTTGACAGGCATGAGCTGGTGAGAATATATTAGAAATTGCGTATTGAACAGCCATGGTACTTAGTTACTGAAATCACGTTAATGGAAAAGAGATCCGTCTACGGATTCTTTTTACTCGACGACGCGATACCTTCCAAAACTCACGTCTACAAGAGTATCGAAGTAGAAGACGGCGAGAAAAGAGAAAGAGGCAGGGACGGGTAAATGGAGTAAAAGGAGGCCGCGAGGCGCCTTAAAAATAGAGCTTCCGCCAGGTCAACGAACCGGAAGATATCTTATCGACCTAATACGCCCGTAAATCATCGTCGCGTGAACGCAGCCCATACCTTTTCAGATTCATGCCTGGTGCCTCTGCCGCGTCAGCTCCTAGTATCCGCCTCAGCCATTTCCTTTTTGCTCATCTCCTCCACGGTTTCATCCTGCCTTTTCCTTCGCCCTTCTCCTCGGTGCTTCCGTGCTCGACGCCCGGCTTCAGCTAGCGCTTCCTTCCGTCCTCGAGAAAAATCTTTCGGGCGCGCACGCCCTATTCTTGGAAACAAAATGGATATGATTGCGTGCACGATCGCTCGAGTACGTTGCTAGTTGCCACCGGAAATGTCACCTTTTTCGTTTTCCCACTACCTCGGCAGCTGTCGTACGTAATAGCGACATTTTGTCAAAAAATGGAGAGAGAAAGAAGGCGATAGCCTGTCATGCGGGGTTACTTTGTCTCTGTAAGGAAGATAACTTTCCACCACTTTAAAAGGAAGCTTCCGTAAGGGGATTGGTTTCTAAAGAAGGAGTTTATGATTCTTCTTTCCATTTTCATATGAAAACCACTTCGTGGCTTATCTTGGTTATTTTTCTAGAGTCTAAAAGATACATTCTAATGACGATACATTACGTTCGTTGTTCCTGTACATGAAATTCGGCCGAAAAACACCATCACCCGTGGGAGTAACTTCCATCATTCAGTATTTTCCCGCAGAGTTACGAGACAAACAAGCCATTAGTCTCGTCGTTACTTGACATATTTCATCATCGATCCCGAACGTCCCGAACGATGTAAGGCAAACGACATAAAAGATGACGAGAGATGGCAGAAAATAACTGCCGCCAGGGCATCGTTGCAAGAAAGTTCAAGCTCGGGAATATGGAGTATTTTATTCGAGAATACGTGCTACCTTATATGACATGACTTGCTATACGCATAATAAGCTGAAAAGATATAGAAAAATTCAGTCTATCGGTACAGTAAGGAATCGTATAACGAGAACGGATAACGAATACCATTTTGCAGATATTGGCGTTCGCCTTCGCTGTTTGCCTGTATTCATCACGGATTCGTGTTAGCTCGGGGGCAAACTGAATTTCGTATTCAGCTCGAACAACTCGAACAACTCGCAGAACTCGTTATTTATTTCGTAGAAATGAACAAAGTGATTCGGACGCGACTCGAGAAACACATTATATATCTCGAAGATTCGACAACCGTTGTTTACTGTTCGCTCAACTGATACGCATATATAAAGTACATACATACTAAGCACAAAACAAGCGTTACACAACGATATTACTTTGCGAATATATGATATGTACGACGTGTCGCCTTACACCGAGAAAATGAGTAAGTTTAACGACCGCACTAGACTCTTTTATAAAAACTACAGGAAGGAACCACGTTGCTCGCTTTTACGAGACGGACTTTTACTCACGTTTTCCACCTCGTGTCGTGTTTCTCAGCTTAGCAACTTATTGTTTAAAAATAACTGGGATATGTCGGCGTTTTTTATTTTTTTACACAAGATTATTATTATTATTATTTATTGGTATTAAATGATACTTTTTAATTTATTTGTTTATTGAAGTAAAATCTGAAGGAATTTATTATAGAATTTATATTGCATTAAGAAAGAAAAAAAAATTATTATAATATTTCTTTTAATAATTTATGATTAATATATGTACAATTTTTATTTTGTTTATTCTAAATTAATTACATTTTTATTTAAAAGCGCGCGAATGCACACACATTCATATTTACGTATGTATATTATTGGTATTCTCGACCTTAAAATATCGCTATTCGTTAGACTTGTGGATTCGTTGTCGCGTAAGCATATCGTTATGAGAGGTTCTCTTCTTGATACTTTTTCATGCAATCTGATTTGTCGAAAAAGCGCGGTTTTTCGTTTTTAGTGGATGATTCGTAGGGAGGACGGATGTGTGCTCTCTGATGGAAAGCTAGTCGACGTTGCTGCTTTTGCGCGTGGCATCTTCTTCTCTGTCTTTCATTCTTTGATTCTCCTCGTCCTTTCCCTCCTTTTTGCATTCCCTTCAGCTATCTCTTTTCTCTGCTCGTTTCATGCTTTGTAAATATTACCTGCCACGAGACGTCTGCCGAGTTTATGTTCAGCTTGGTTGCCGCGTAACTGAGAGAGCCAAACGAGCGATATGCGGGGAAGGATAGAAAAGGATGGCTGTTGAGGGGAAACGTAACTAGAAAGGATGAGAGAGAGAGAGAGAGAGAGAGAGAGAGAGAGAGAGAGAGAGAGAGAGAATGATAACATTCGCAGAGGGTGGGCGAGGGGATGAAGAAGGAACACGAGGAGGTGGATGGAGTACGGGCAAACTCACTGAGTTTTTACCCCATTCTGAAGTCTGAGTGCCTCGCTCCGCTGACTCTCGAAACGGGTTGCGGAGGCAGAGAACCCAACGCACCACCACACCACAGCGATTCCCTGGCTGCCGCCACCACCATCGTCCGCTTTCCTATCTTCTTTCTTCTTCTTTCGTTATTTCTCTCTTTTGCTTCTCCCCCTTCTCTCTCTCTCTCTCTCTCTCTCTCTCTCTCTCGCGCGCGCGCGCACGCTCTCTCTCACTCTTCCTACTTGCCTGACTGCCTTCCATGTTCTTTACAACCTTATTCCATCCACCTCTTAGACATGCCCTTACCAACCTTTCAGCCGAGCCCATCAACTTACGTGGGCTGCCGGGTCAGGAGCGAATCGCGACATGAGATTTTGGATAAGACAGCCTTTTGGGATTTTCTACTCTAGTCATATTGTGCTGTCTCGTTTCTATCAAGCCTGCGAGCATTCTCGTTAGTCATGCAAAGTCAGCCGCGTAGAAATGACAGTGGTTAAACAGAGAGTGACGTGATTTATCCAAAGAAGCTCGCGTTATTCCATCTTTCTCATAAATTACTTTCTTCTTTTCTTTTAAACCTATCATTGATGCGAAACAAAATAACTTTTCCGTAAACTACAAAGTTTCTCTAACACGGATCACATTAAATTATTCGCTTGACGTAAAAGATTTAATTGTAAAGATACGGTACGATATGAAGGAAGCTCTCGTTTAGTTTTTATCTTTTTATTTACTTAACAAAAAATGACTAAAAGCACATAGTAAATCTGAATAATTTAACATACGTGATCGTTTTCGGCGAGGGCTTTTTTCGTAATGTTCCGTTATTCTGTGCAATTATTATTAAATTTCTAGCAAATTAACGAAGGCTATTTGTTACTCATTTTATTAACTGATCGTGTAAATTTAACATGCGGATACGCGCAGTAAATGTATCGCGTGTTTACCCGCAAACGTGCGTTAAACAGATCATTAAGTGGAGAGAGAGAGAGAGAGAGAGAGAGAGAGAGAGAGAGTGAGAGAGAGAGAGGGACGGGGGTAAAATTACGCATGTCCGCACATACATTTACGAAAACTCTAATTAGAAGTGGCATTGAACGTTGTTGAAAACGTGGTAAATTGTCCCGCGTTATACCATTTTGGTTCTTATCGGCAAACGTGTATCAAAGTGAATTGTAATGTCGTGCGGTTGCGGCACCATTAACATTTACGTTACGTTCTTATGGTCTCCGGAACCATAGTATATGGATACATGGAAAGTGGAACTTATCGTTACGTGTTGCAGTGGTAAACCAACGTTACGATCCGGAAGTGCAAAATCCCAGCGGCTTCCTCGGCAACAACGTGCTCATGCGCTGCAACGTGCCCAGTTTTGTTCGCGATCACGTCACGGTCACGTCTTGGCTCCAAGAACCAGTCTTCAATATTTATCCCTCCACAATGGGCGGTAAGCAAATTAAAAAAATAAAAAAACCAAAATAATATTGTACATATAGATTTATATTCACTTTTCAATATGAACGAGCGTGTGTAATTACTCTAAAATGGAATATAGAATTATTCTATTTAATATGAAACAGGAGGAATTGAATTATTCTAAAATTACAGTTACCTTTTACCACGCACGGGAATATTGGGTATTGTCGTGTAAATTAATTATATCGCTGGAAAACAGGAGTTATATTGCATGACGTCATCTACGTGCGCGCACGTATAAACACGTAATTTCCTTCCGATCAATTTAGATTTCCATGATGATAGAAACGTAATTCAAACCTCCTTCCCACCCTCCCGTCACGCGCGTGTGTTGTTATAGATGGCAAATATCATATGCTGCCGACCGGCGAGTTGATGATAATCAATATTACGCGAAGCGACGCGCAGATGACGTATCGGTGCAGAACGCATCACCGGCTAACTCAGGATACCGTCGTCAGCAGCAATGTAGGGCGGCTGCAACTGACTGGTGAGTACGTCATAGATTTTTCTCCTTGTACACTCGGGGCACCCAAGCTTGCTTTGCTTAATCGAGTTATTTTGCAAGGGAGGATTCCTTGATCAATTTTAATTGTACCCAGTTTTTCCCAGTTTTTATAATATTATAGTTAAAATATATCAGAGTATTATTCATAATTTAATTTTTTTTTTCTATCAAATTACTGTTTATATCTAAACCATAACTTATTAATATTCAGAATTATATTATGTTTATAATTAAAAAATAGGGAAATTAATTTGCGAGCATTAAATTAAAAATTAAAATTTTATTAAAGTCAAATTCGCCGGAAAAAAAGTTAACCAATTTTAATTAACAGAAAATATGGTTATCTTATTATTTTACATATTATTTTCGATTATTTTCTCCCCTGAAGTTTATTTCGCGGAGAACTATTTTCTATCGCTCTAATTACTCGCGAAAACAATAGTTCGATATTTTCCTCGAGCAAATATTGGTTTTAAACTAGTCTATGAAATTGTTATATTCAAACATATTATGTTAAGAAGTCTATTCATTTCTCTGGATACTACAGATGCAATCTCATTGTTCTTATTATATAACTATCTCGATTCAGGATTAATTAGTTGGCGGAAAATGGGTTCGATTCCGTTCGGTCGTTCCATCATAGTTTCAAATACAAAGATGAATTTATTTCGACAATTATTAAATTTTTCGAAAACGTAAACAGAGAGCAGCAGAAGCCTTGGATATCCGTTGTGCTTGTCGAACGGTAAATTCCCGTTCCGCCTCGAGCTGAACGTATAGCGGACGTATGGCGGAGTTTAATTAAATGTTTACTTTACCTGAACCCGATTCGATCGATATCGCAGCAATTATATTTCCCATTTTTTTCATTTGGAATGAAAGCAACTAAAGAAGAACGGCGAAAAGGGAAAATTTGTCCCACAAATCGAGAGCACGATACATCTGCGTTATTGAAATTTTTAATAAAAATTTTAATTTTTAATAAAAATAAAGCTTTTGGAGCTCGCAAAAGTGCGTAATTATACACGAATATATTTATTTATGTTATAAATATTGCCTACGTGAGTCGCCATTTAATTAATGTCCGCGCGATCAAAAAAAGGGATCGTCAAGAATCAAGGCATCATCATACAGAGTAAATAATTAATTCCAGGGAGCATCGTCCTCGTTTTTATGCTATTGCAATTTGTTCCCTATCGTGTCGAGCACATTAACTCGGATCTTATCTCGCGTTAGCGGAGTGGTCGCTGGGGATGAAAGAAGATAAAAACAGTGCGTTTAACGGCCGGCATGAGATCCATCCGAGCGACTTCTTCGACAACGCGCGGTCGATGTTTAATTAGATAACGGTTAAAGAAGCGATGACAGTATGGCCTTATGTTACTAAGAACTGAATAAATTACCGAGAACTGAATAAATGAGGACGACGAGAAGATAGGACGAAGGAAGTTACTCCGAGTGGTCCCGCTAATGACGTTTCTCTTCTTCGTAGGATGTCACATCGCGTTCGAAATTAAGTGGAACTTTAATCGCATCCGCACGAACATCGAGGGAAATGCAAACCATTGTGCTTACATTTCCTATCGCAATACCATCGCGATGTAACCGACCTAGTGACGTCAATTCTTCCGGGATCATTACAAATACATTATCCGTCTGTTGTTCTTATTTAACGTACGCGATTGAAATTGATATCTCATGTATCACGAGAAAACTGAAATAATGTTTATGATGGAATATTGATCGTACTCTCTTTTATCAAAGTATTCTCATTGTGAAGTCTCCTCGCTGTCTTCCTATAGACTACATTCTAGATTTTCTAAAACTACTAGACGGAAAAGAAAAGAGAGGGAGAGAGAGAGAGAGAGAGAGAGAGAGAGAAAGAGAGACAGTGTGTTCAGAAACTTTAAAACTAGGAGGATCTCCTGTGACATCGCAAATTTCGGAGGACGTGCGACTTATTTAAAGTTTCTCGTAGGTTCGAACAGAGCCGTGATTTTATGCGGTCGCTTACTTTCTGTTCTTATATTATACTTGCAAGCAAAATTCTCCATGTTGCATTTGTAAAATTGCCTCGATCATAGACGCGCTTCGAATAATAATGCCAATTAATTAATACGGTTATTGCAAATTTTGGCAAGCTTCATCATACCGCGTTTTAATAAGCTGTTGTTGAAAGAGTTTCTCAATTCGAAAATTAGCTTGGCTAATATAACACGATTTAACCAGGTACGACATGTTTGAAATCCATAATCAGCACGCTTTGATATATTTCTAATCACACAAATATTTCCAACAAACATCAATTAATTATCGCCACAATTCGCTCGTGAGTTAATTACCTCGTGTATCATTCGACAGCTTGCCGAATAAACGATATTCGGTGAAAGCCTAGTAGCGATATACAGGTAGGATAAATATTTGTTCAAAGCGAGTTGCGAACGCGTAGAAGGGAACGAATAGAATTAACCTACAAAAAAAAAATGCCGCATCAACCGCTAATTCCAGGAATAGCTCGGGTTCTTTTTACATTTCTGAATTTTGCAATACAAACAGAATAATATTAACACAAAATAATATGAATTGTAATACAACAATTACTATCGCATCAATATAATTATTCGGTAATTATTGAAATAATATATGATATTATATATGTATAGATAATAACAACAATGAAACAATTTAAATTGCAGCGTATCATCGATATGTCGATAATGACAATTAAATGACGTTTTATAATTTAATGTTATCCTTGAGAGAGGAGAATGAGATGCGGGGTGGAAACTAGCGGGGTGAGAAACGCATAGCCGTTTGTGTGCCGCCGCATAATCAGGCAAGAAAAACCGATTCGACGTGCCCGAGCAAGAATATCTCGGCGGACGTTAAAAAATTCACGGGTTTCAATTTTCCAGAAACGTACGCGTTCGCGTTCGTGCACTCGTAATAAAGCCGGCCCCCTGCCGCGTTGGATATCTTCCGCCGTAAGGTAGAAATTTATGCTAAGCGCACTTAGGTAGTTAATAACTTAATAATGAAGTTCAAGAGAAATTTGATCGTTTGCATATTTCGACGCGCGCCTTCGGACCGTCGGTTGGTATATACCCTCTAAATTAACCAAAATCTCGATGTACAGTAGTTTTCCTGGAGTAATGAGGAAACTTTTCGGCGCATTATCCGAAGCGAGCGTGTAAATCCCAGCAGGAGGCTCGCCGAAAATTTAGAGAGCCAGCGTATAAAGTTAACATTTATCGCGCAATTTCGGGGAAAGTAATAACGCACGATCGTGAAACGATTCCGGTACACAATTCAGCGACATACACATGAGTAGTCGTAGAGCGTATACATATATCTCTTTATTCACGGAAAAAAAACAGTTTTGTTGAAGTATCTAAAACTTTAGCTGGATACAGATCTGAAAATAATTTTGTTTGGTCTATCAAAATAATTATGTATAGGAGGCTTAAACTGCTAAAATATTTCAAACTTTTGCAACATTGCCATCAACGTCCTAAATAATTATTTTGATGGTTCAAACAAAATTATTTTTAGATTTGAAATTAAATTTTCTAGATACTTTAACAAAGTGTTATTCTTACCGTTTAATTCTAAATTTCGATATCTGAATTTTTTTTATAAATGTAGTCTCTTACGAAAAGAATCATCGCTGAATTTCAAAATTGTGGCAGGAAATTCAAATTAGAATTATGGAATTTATATTATTGTTTAATTTTGTTTACTTGAGTTTTTACTGAGATTTATCTGAGATCCGTATTTTACATGATCGTTTAGATCACTAAATTCTTTCTCTTCGATAAATCGAAGAACCGTAATTCCTCGGAATTGCACTGATCAAAACGTCAGTTATAATTAATTAACACTAGCATTGTTATTACTCGCATTGACATTTGCTATTAATTTTAATCATATTGGGAAATGCAGCGCGAGGCAGCGCGCGCATTATACAGTTACTGTATAAACGTATCTCACGTAAACGATAAATGTTTTTGTCGCAACGTACAAGAGGTATGTATGAACGCTCGCGGCGAGTATTCGCCGCCGTAATCCAGCGCATTAATTCCCCGTTAAATGTAACAGCACGTATGTGCGATGCTGTCCACACATCATTTGATCGCGAAATAACACACGTGCCGAAGAGGAGGGCACTTGAGTATCTATGGACGAATCAATAAACCACGCTGCATTTCTACCGCAGATATGCGCGGGGGCTAGATTGAGTGGCTTTATTTTAACATAGCCATGGCGAAATAAAAATACCTACCATTCGTAATTGGACAAATGGAATAATTGTAGCGCGACCGTGATACGCCGCATGATGTTTCATGTGTGTCATTAACCGGCGTATTTTCATTCTTCTGCACTCACGAAACGCGTAACCCCAATATATTTAATTAATTTATGAATTTTCATGCCGTGCATAAGAAAACCTGAAATTTCTGAGCGAGGCGAGATTATTGTAGACGAAAGTATGCTAGACGCGAATTAGGAACGCGAGCGATTTATGCGATACAATTTCGGCGGAGTTGCTGGCGAGGAATATTGTAGCCGTATGCAAAAACTTAATTAACAAATGCGATTTAATTTTTATTTTTTTAATTATGTTACTTTTGTGATTTTATTGCGAACACAGCGGCAATCGCATTCGTATGCGTGTTGCATGCGAATGTCTTTTTTTTGACGTAACGTTTTAATTTATCTCAACGCAGACTGATGCGGTCTCAAAAAAAAAAAAAAAAAAAAAAAAACAAGAAAATGTTGCGAAATTTCGTTAATGCTCGGCGCAAGTTTCGTGCAGGAGTTCGCTCGACATTGCCGTTCGAGCGGAACGTAATTTTTCCGACGTTTTGGATAGCGCGTGACGTAATTTCAAATTCTCGCCAAAGCGCGGAGATATATCGTCGTTATCTAACGTGGTTCCGCTTCATAGTGCACCATATCGTAAGACGTGGCGTTATCTGCGACCATAACTCCCCATTAAACGTCGCGCTGGATGCGTGCGCGGAGTCCTGCCTTTTTTTTTCTTTTTGTTTCCTCCACCCCCTCCCCCGCCCCCGTGTTCCACCCGTCTCTCGCCTCCCGAGATCCCGCATTTCCTTCCCTCTCCGCGGACAGTAACGATTTATGAACATATTTTCCGCGTATCACACGGCAAACTTGCCCGGAATCGATCCTCGAACGAGCGCCGGCGACCCAATAGCGTCCCACGATTTAATCTTCGATTTTGCGCTATAATTGAATCTACGTGCACCGCTTGTTTCTATTTTCAGAAATTCGAGGCTCCATGCCGCCTATAATAAATGAGAAACTGGTCTACATGTCGGCTCGTCTAAAGGACACTGTCGTGATCCCCTGCGTGGCCTACGCCAATCCCACCCCGACTAACAGGTAAGATTTTTTTCGATATAATTCGGTTCCACATTCTCTCTCTCTTATTAATATTATCGTTAGGTTAATCAATTATTAATTTCATAGATTTATTAATGTCGCTTATTAATATTATAGATCAATAAATTATGTTTAATTCTCAATTAAATTTATATTATTAACGAGGCGTATTTGCGAGGTAGAGACGGTTCTTCCGCGTATGCGTGTATATACGTGTATACCGGAACTCCGCGTACCGAACGTCCGGGTTTTCAGTAGTATTACCAATTTCGTAATTCCCATAATTAGATTTTAAATAGCATTTTTTTTCCACGCCGACCTCGTTCCTCTTCTCTTATCCCTCTTCCTTGGGGAGGGCTTGCGTTACGCTCAGATACGCAATTAAACGGTAAGCAGGCATTTACTTTCCGCCGTGGCCCAACAATGCTGTTAAGTAATCTGCATACAAAGTATGGTACGTTGCGCTTGAATTAAAGGCGATGCTTGAAGATTAAACAAACCGCTTCACTAACATCACATACGTCGCGATTGTGAGATAGCGGTTACGAAATCTATATATAACGCGACGTCCCGGTGTGAATGGCAGTTAATAATGAAGAGCGATCACGACGTACACGATAAATATTGATGATCCGATGATATTGAATGAAACGGACGAGACTGGCGTATATTGGGTTTCAATCGCACTTCCGTTTTCGTTACACAAGAATATGGAGCGTAAAACTAACTGTGGGCAATTATCGGTTAAAGTCCGTTCACGTTGAAAGAATGCGCCTCGTGTTACCTTCATTGGCTCTGCCAGGCACAGGAAACATCGTAACAGGTAACTTCTCCACGAAGAGTTTCGTTAATGCTATTTTTCCAAAAGGAATTACAGAAGACAATGTAGTTAATTAGATGAAAATTTGTATAAAAGTCGTTACCTTTGTTAACGCGGGAACTCGGTGGGAAATAAGGATAAAATAAAGATAAAGACTCATTATCTGAAATAATATATTACATAACGTATTACAGAATCAAACCGCACGTGTGCGTTTAACAATGTTTTGCGCTACGCTCTCACGAGAGCGATGCCGCGCACGACAGCGCCAGGTGATGAGGAAATTGGAATCTTTGTGCAAACGGACGAACACGCGGACGATGCTTATTCGCTACTAGACGCCTGTGTCTCTATTTTCCTTATATTAATGCTAATTTTAAACATAGATCCGCCAACGGAATATTTCGCGCAATGTGAGCTTCACGCGCGGAAACGCCCACGCGAGTTCATCGACATCGCGGATTTCTAGTCCTGGAAGACCGGAGGGTAGGTGAACCGAGAGGTGAACGAGAAAACAGTTATGAAACGAGGATTTTCTTCTTCTCTGAGCTCCGACTATTAAATATTACGTTAACTCTTACGGATACCATCCTTTTCCCGCTCGTGCATATTACTAGCTCGCGGATGTATTACATTTATCTCGCGAGGAACGAGGAAGAAACGGCAAACGGGATGGTAACGCGTACGACTGGTATTTTATGTGTTGGACGACAAAGCTTTTCAAGCCTGTTGATTATCTGCAGGACAGAAAGGATCTTTCTGTTCTAAACTCGATTTTATATCCTAAAGAACACATTAGATTAAGAGAAAATCAAAATGACTTTATTTTAGTGTCATGAAAGTCAAAGTGATGATTTACAAAATTTGACTGCTTATTGACGTTAAGAGTCAAAGTAAAGTCATTTTGATTTTTTGTTGATTTTTGTGTGTTCCTTGGGAATTGCGTAAGCATAGGTCTCGAAACACAATAGGTGTAGTAAGCTTTAAGATATTGACTAATTATAGTTGAGTATTCTTCTCATATTCGAATTGTAATTAATTAATTCCTTAAGGATTATATATCAGTTGCACAAGCTCAAATGGACACCGTCAAATCACAGTACTAGAAAAAAAATTGAAATACTCCTTAGATGAAAGTCAGTGTGATTTGCAATGAGCAATTGCAATAGGGTGCAAGTGAACTGCTCCCTTCCTTAAGACTTAAGGCTTCCTACATCTATTGTATTTCGGGACTAAATTGTAAATGATTTTAATAAAAGACTTGATTAATCAAAATCGAATATAAGAATAATATTTAATTGTCATTGATCAGTTCTTATAACTACGCTTACGCGATTGAATAGAAATGGACTCTATAGGTAATCAACGCGCTTAAAGAGTTTGTCGTACGAGACGTGAAATATCAATCCATGTCAGGATCGCGACTCACATCGATGCAACACCACGGAGAGAGCGATGAGAGGCTCTACGAAACTTGTTGCGTGGTGGGGAGCGTGATATTACAGCGGATTACGCGATTAGCAACTAGTTTGGTCCCATCATTGATGCCGCGAGCACCATGCAGAGGATCGGTGCAATAATCAAACTCGGGTCAAATAGAAACACACGGTTATCGCCGTGTCGAGTAGTGAGATGCATTTAAATAATTATGGACGAACCGAAAATCGATGAACGCGAGTCGTTTAAGAGTCATCTTAAAGAGTCAGTGCTCTCTGTCGTCTCACTTCTCGCTTCGATTTTTGATGAGAATCTTCGCTCTCTCTCTCTCTCTCTCTCTCTCTCTCTCTCTCCCTCTCTGATTTCTCACGCGAAAATATAAAATGAAAATTTTAAACGTCGCCGGCAGAACATATCGACGGAACTTTGATCGTAAAATTTGTAGAATCGACGCGGATATAGAACGATGTGATTCGCGGTTTGTGTGCACGCGCACGCGTGCGTGTATACACGCGCGCGCGTGCGACGCGTATAGAGCCGCCAATCTACGCTGGCGCGACGATAGTAGCCGGGGGGATGAACGAAGATAGTCGGAAGATATATAGACGTCGGGAGGGCTGTATGGGTAGCGCAAACAAACCGACCGCTGATTACAGAGACTGCTTCTGACAGCCCATCAAATATTCCGCATTTACGTATACGTCGACGTCACTGAGTATTCCATGCTTGTGTTCATCAACCGCGCGTTCCCTCTCACCGGTCCTCCTCCAGCCGCCCTCTTCTTCCACGTCGGCTCCCTCCTGCTCCTCCTCTTCTAGTCGTCTCTTCTGTAGGTTGATTTAGCCGACGGAAGAGAACTGCGGGGGATGGAAAGCTAGAGAAGCTGGAGATAGGGATAAGGGATATAGAAAAGGAAGAGAGAGAGAGAGAGGGGGGGGGCAGACAGAGAAGAAGAAGAGAAAGCAAGTAGAGAGGACAAGAGGATGGAGAAGACGAGGATAGAGAAGATGAAGACGGAGAGAGGAAGAGAGTTTGAGGGTTCGTCGTGGCGCAGAGTCTTCCATCTCTCCGGGTCTTCCCTCGCACTCGAGCATCCCCGTATCCCATCTCCTACTCTCGCCAATTTCCCTTCGTAAATTCGATTATCTATAGGTATACTCCTCATCCCTACAGCTCCACTTCTGCTTCGCTGCCAACACGGCCGCCATCTCCGTTCCTATCCTCTTTGGCCGTCTCCTCTTCGTCATCATCGTCATCGTCGTCGTCGTCGTCGTTGGCCTTCTACGTCTCCTCCCGGATGCGGAGTAAGCAAGACCCAGGGACCACTACGCTTTAACGGATTTCTAAACCACGTGGGGCCGATCATCGCGTAAAAGCGAAAGAGAGAGAGAGAGAGAGAGAGAGAGAGAGAGAGAGAGAGAGGGGGGGGGAGGGGGAAGAGACTAAATCGAGGGAGTTCTGTAACGCGAGAGGGACGATGCCAGGGCTAATGGCGCGTTACGAGCAATCGCGGAAAGATGAACTGGCTCCATTCGGTCCCGATAAACTTCCCGTAGAGCGATAAGGGATCTTGAATTGGGATCGATTTAAATATCGCCGGTATTCAGATAGTTATATTCGATTTGTATAATGAGTAATCTCATTTAATTAGACTGATTTATCTGAAATATTAATAGCGGTTTTACATGTTAATCGATTTAAGCAAAGGGGTTATTTAAGCAATACACTTTATATTATTAAAGCGAATAACAATTATCTTTTATATCTTTTAACTTACTTAATTGAGATACAGCAGATTTAATTGGGATTTTCTTTTACATTTGAATTCTATTTTTGCACAATATTTAAAAGCAAGTTTTACATTATTAAAGAAACAACGTATTTTCAAGTCATTTAATTAAAGCGCCGAGAGTGCATATGTTTGAAATTTATTCGCGTCATATTAAAAATTCATGTCAATCCGGTTATACAAATACATATGCAAGTTCGTTAAATAGTCGACGCGAACAGATTCGGATCGCAAAAATGGCGGCAGCTTGAAATTTTATTAGTGCAACTCCGTTGGCGTCGTACTGACGGGATTGATAAGATGATAGAGGGGGAGGGAAATTATCTCCGTCGAGATTTATATACTTCCCGTTAGAGCGCTTCCCTATATACTATAAAATCCATCTCTCGCGCGTAAGCTCAATAATGTGCATGATATGCAAATAGAGAATAATGCCAATAAATCTCTTTAATGTCGTTTAATGCCGCAAATTAATCGTAAAAGGTAGACTATTTTGTCTGGATTAACATGTTCTTGCGCGGACGTCGGTGCGCATTTCGCATCGTACTGACCACCGATAAGGTCAAAGGTTGCGCGTGCTCGCCAAGGATCGATTGGATTATCCTGTTTGCCAAGACTGGCTTAAATCGAGACAGCACGGGCTCTCCGAATTTTCAATTAAGACGAACACGGAGAGCTGGCGAAGTTATGCGTGATCTCGTTTCGTGAAATTCGCAAGGGATCGATCTACGGAGTTGCGCTATATTCGCATAGTTATGCAATAGCGTCATAGCATGCACCTCGGCAAAAATCCGCGACGTTATCCTGAATTACAATGTAAGAATGTAGATGTTTCCATTTGACTATATTTTCACTGAAAAATATGGTCCTAAAAAAATGGGAAAGTTAAAACACAAACACTAAATGGAATATTGATCTTAACATCACATATACGAAGCAAAGTTTTCTGTGTGCATATTTACTAATACCAATAGAGAGATTTGCTAATACTAATAAAAAAACATGTGTAGATGTAAGTATTTCGACTCTTTAAATTCTTAGAGTATAATCTTATTCTAAAAAGTGAAAACTGAGTCAGTCTTGGAAAAGAGTGGCTCAATTTTTAATCTTTAAGAGTGAGATTTCACTCTTCAGAGTGAGATATACTCTAAAAGTTTTAGAGGACACATACGTCATAAGTTCATGAGTTCTTAAGTTTAATTGCGGAATGCCCTTATGAAAATACCAGGAATTTTATAAGAGTGAATCTATATTTTTACCGTGTTCTAAATGTTAGCGAATCAAAGGCTTGAAATAATTTGAATCCAGATCATCGGTAAAAGTCCTATTGTATGTTAACTTCTTAAGATCTAGTGATATATACATATATTCTAGTCTTTAAAAAATTATATCTTTGGTAAATATTAAATTATTCAATTCACAACTCAATTTTATTTAAAAAAAAAATTGTTTATTATTAATGTATAAATGAACGTAATTTTCGAGCTTTATTATATTTCAATGATAGGAAAAATAACTATAATGAAAAAATTTTATTGATTGACTTATAGATGCAAGGAAAATATTTGAATCTTTTTTTAGAGCCAGTCTATGTTTACCAGTCTATGTTTCGTTACCAAAATGAATATTTTATTGACAATAAATTATAATATTTAGTAATATATTGTAAAACTGTCATAAGTTTTTTCATTTTTACATACTATTTCATGTTTGATCGCACTTTTTATTTTAAATAGTTTTTTCTATTTAATAAATTTTATTACAATTTGATATTTTATTTCTTACATCTGTAATTTTTATCCAATTTTTTTATGTTTTCGATCTCATTTTTGCATAGCGATTCCCTAAATCTTTAAAAATAACTAGACAATAAATGTTCCATTAAAAAAAAAGAGACCTTAAAGGGTTAACGATACTCGCCGGCGCGGTTGCAGCTATCTGAATAATCATACTAATGAAAGTGATGAATATCATTAAAATGTATGTTCTTGAAAAGTGAACGTTTTGAAAGCGTGCCAGAGTACGTGTCTCGCGCCGTGTATATGCGTGTATAGAAGCAGAAATACGGGAATATAGTCGCACGGTATGGAATACAATAGCAAGGGGGAATGCATTCGGTCTTTCCCGATGAAACAATAGTTATTTTGTGGTAAGCGTGTGCGGCGAGGAGATACCGTTTCGGACAGGCACCGGCGCGCATACATGAGCGCAACGTTTTCGAAATCTCGTCGGTTAGGTAACTAGAATAATAACATCGTCGCTTTGACGAGCGCGGGAAATGGTAAATTTACATACGCATTCTGTTGAGAACACGCACACGCTGAGTAGCGCGAAGTGATGCGAATGCAGCTGAGTTTCTGCGAGTGTCTGCCTATACCGTCGATGCTTTCACTTGATGGCCGCCTGATAATGACGGTCCTTGGAAATGGAATCGAATCGAATTGAAATACACTATATGACGGAGAATCCCGTTTCTGTTTTCTCGCGTAGGTGGTACTACAATAGGAATCAGAGGGAGGAACCGATCGAGGAATCGTCGGGCCATTACGTGGTGCGTGACGGCTCCTTGATTATCCAGAGCGTCGAGGAGAGTGACGCCGGCTCTTACATGTGCACTGCCAGCAATTCTGAAGGCAGCGAAACTTTGGAGATCAGACTAACAGTGTCTGCACCACTGAGTGTTCACGTGCAACCGGCGATACAGACGGTTGATCTGGGGAAATCCGCCTATCTGGTAATCAATCATTGTCAATATCGATTTATCCGAAAATAAATAATGCTTGCTTGATCACGTAGGAATAAGTTGAACAAAGAAAGGGAAGAATGATATTTCGAATGATATCTCTAATACCGCGAAGGGTAGAAAAATAAATAAATATTATAAGCCGATATTTAGATCCCATTCTTCTTATTTCAAGATCGTCTTAATTTTTCGACTTCCATGCTAATTTTTCAAACATAAATTTTCAAGTTGGACGAGCGATTAAAAAATTTTCTATATGAAATTTATAATGTTAACAATTATATTAAAATTTAGTAAATAAATAAATTAATGCGTAAATATAACCAAATGTCATTATTTTTATTTATAGGAAAGCTATAATTATAAAACAAATAACAAAACAATTATTGCAGTTCTTGTATAATATAATACTTGTTTTTGCATAATTCTAAAAATAATGTAAATTTTATTAAATTAATATTAATTTTTTTAAATTTTAATTAAAAATAAGAGAGAGAGAGAGAGACAGAGAGAGAGAGCTCTTTAAAGTAGTTATATATTAATATTCCCAAAAGAGATGAATGCTCGCTCCAAGTAAATAAGTTATATCTCTTTAAAAATTGTATGTGTACATAATACATGCATTTATTTGTCTCAAACAAAAGCTTAAAACTTAAAAATTAATTAGAAAAATCCACAAAAGTTATCAAAATTTTATAGCAAAATTATTCTGTAAAAATTTTATTATAATTTTGAAGAGCGAACAGTGCTCGCTTCCTCAGGAAATCGAAAAGTTAAATAAGTATTTTAAAATATGGTTCTCTAGTTTATAACAACTTAAGATTATATTTAAGACGGTCTAAAATATAAGAACTGACTTAATATCTTATAGAATCTCGAGAATCCTACTTTAGAGATCAATTTAAACAATCTATAATTTAAATTAAATTTTCGAAATCCATTTATAATAAGGAAATGTAATTCCATTTATAATTTTTAGCCCGTGCATTTTGTATATATTCATTTTAGTATAATATATTTATCATATTCCGATAATTGAATTAGTAAGACATCCGTCTCAGAAAATCGATAGCATGTTCAAATCTGGGCTAATGTAATATTTTTCATAAATTCTTTGCACTGTTTTAAGATGTTATTGATTTGATAATCAATGATAATGTGATTTGTGATATTATTTCTAACAGTTTCAATTTATGATTGAGATTCAACAAACTGAATCAGCACGCAATTTATAGGAAAATATATTTGAAAATTTACATATATGAATATTATTAAGCATCAAAGTTGAATATAGGATTTTTTCTCTGAATTGTATTATTCACTTATCGATTAATTTTCGACTTTTATTATTATTTTTCATACATATTTTTATTCTGATGATTAAACTGTTTCTCTTATATGTATATAGATAATTAATGAACGGTAAATTATGGAACGTCCAAAGTCTTTATTTTGCATTTAAGTTTAAGAATATAAGAACGTCTGACAGATCGCTTATATAATAAATATTGGACACTTCAATTACTGTTATGAATATTTACCGCGACGTTTTCAACCATCTGTAAATACTGTAAAGCGCTGTCGATGACGCGGGAAATGAATCTGTACGTGCCGGAAATTAATGCCAGTCATAGTGTCGGGTGTGTGATTCGAATATATTTTCAGGAATATAGAGATCTGATTTTTCTCAAGAAGCTCACGGTTTGCGGATTCGAGACGAGACGGTATTCTCCTTCGTTTCCGCACGCCGGGCGAGATCGCCGGGCAAGTCCCTTTCTTGATTCTCATCAGTTTCTTCCGTCTAAACTCCTTTGCAGACGTGCACCGCAAGTGGATTTCCACAAGCGGCACTCTATTGGCTGAAGGATGGTCAGCCATTGAGAACGGGTGCCCGGGTAAGGACGGTCTCCAGCGAGCGTATTTCCGTGACGTCGGTCGCGAGAGAAGACCGCGGCATGTACCAGTGCTTCGTGCGGAACGAGTACGAAATGGCTCAAGGAATTGCGGAGTTACGCTTAGGGGGTAAGACATTCTGATATCGCGTTCCGGATGTACAATATTATATGTCGCGACGCCTTAATGTTTGGGCAAGCTCATCAGGAGACTCCCCGGAGACTCGAAAATCTTGGAATTCTTGTAAGATTGGCAATCTTTCTCTCGGCAAATTAAATATAATTAACATATTCGACCGTATTTTAAAACTGAATTATATTCTAAAATGTTTATATTATTACTTACAAAATTGTTACACGGAAAAAATGAGTTTGTGAAGTGAAAAGTCAACTGAATACAGTCTGAAAATTTAACTTATAGATACAGATCTAGAAATAATTTTGTCGGACCATTAAAATAATTATGTAGAATGCTCTAGATGGTTATTAGAATGTTAAAATTTTTTGCAACATTGCTCATTCACTGTTAAATCTATAATGTCAAATCTAATTTAAGTCGCCACTGCTCTTACTTAATGTATCGTTATTTTATATTAAAACAATGGTTAAATTTTACACTATATAGTCAATTTGACACTATACAATATCAAATATGTATATGTATTATATATGTATTGAATAATATGTTTATATATACAATAGATTGAATAATGTATACTTGAGCCTATATAATTATTTTGTCCGACAAAATTATTTTCATATTTAGCTCAATTTTTAGATATTTTAGCAAAACCGTGCAAATCATCAAATTCATAAAATAGTATACAATAACTATTATAATGGTCGAGGCATTTTCAATGACTTTTCTAATCATCCCTAAATCAAATTATTTTTATCGCGGTAACATATTAGGTGTTGGAATTAATTCGTAGCGTTTTACAAGTGATGGGAAGTACTTTCATTAATGTATTTTTTAATGCTCATGTGAAATAAATAACATTCTTTCATTAAAAACGCTACGAATTAATTCCAACACCTAATATTTTATACATAGTTTACTGTTCAATTATTTATAAGTATTTATAAGTATTTATATCTTATTAACGCTACGATTATTTATCGATCGATAAAAAAAACCCTTGTTTATCGAGCAATCGGTGAGTGTTTTGCCGTTAATACCGTAGAATTCTTTCTCTATACGATTCACGATTCGCGTGCCATTTTATCGTAACGCATTCTCCATCAGGAAGTAGCACGACTTCCCTGCAGGCTACGTGCTATTTTTGCGGGGAAGTAAATCGTGGTCTCGGTTTCGATTAACTCCGGTTGAGTTTCGTTTGCAACAACAGCACCAAAGTTACGTCAAATCGCATTATCTAACTTCAACAATAATTATTTTCCGTTATCTAATCTAGCTAGAGCACACTGATTCTTATTTTATTTTAGAATTATATATAAATTATAAATTATAAATGTACAATAATAGAATACTGTATTTTTAATAGAATATACGATAATTGTTATCATCATTGCTGATTGGAAATGTTGTTTAACGGCAGATCGAGAATGCATTTAACAATTCTCGCTCGCGCGTTTATTACGGGGAAAAAAGAGAGTTCGGACGAGCGATCGCGTGTTTGGCGAACTTGATCAGAAACTTGGTTTGCTCGCGGTTTGAAAATGTTGGTTAACGGCTGCGGAACTCGGTACATGTGCGGAACAGAGCTGCCTGTTTGCGCAGCGTTCCCTCCGTAACGTATTTTCCATCGGCTGGTCGTTTCGCCGCGGGATACGTGCCATTTTTGTACGAAAATGGCCTCGTTTGCTCTCCCGCTTGCAAACCCCGATGTGAGACCTTCACCGTCGCGCATCAATGTCCGATGGACAACCGCACGACTCGCGAATTTGCCCCGGAATATAATAAAAGCGATTTACGATAGGTTTCACCGATAACATCGCAGCCAAGCATTGGACGGATCACACGGGTAACATATGACACGTGGAACATGTCCGGTAACTTAGAGCACGATGTGTTTCATGTGAAAAAACTCTCCCTCTGGAATTCCCTCCGGAATTTTTCGCAAAAAACCACAGTACGATTTCGGCACGTTTATCGGCTTATTCATATTTAAATTATCCTGTTAATGCTGTTGAAATTCCATTATATTAATAATTACCAGTCGACATCAGCTAAAAGTAATGTAATATCAATGATATAATTTTGCATTTACAACAACGTAGATGTAACACAACACATGGTGCTATATAACATTACATTGTTGAGTGTGAAATATTCTGTGTAACATATTACGTTATTATGTTACTTTTAGTAGACGTTGACTGAGTATATAGAGATTACATTTTTAATCAAATGTTTAACAACATTTGTTGCTATTTTTATTCGCAAGACAGTATTATTTTTCAATTAGATTTCGAGATATAATTCCAAAGGTAGTCCTTTCTAGAGCTTTGAGTTTTTATTTTATACTGCTTCCACCTCGAGAGGAGAATATTACTGCTGGGAAGGAAAAGCGTGCTGAGTTTCGTGCCGTTCTTACGAGCGATTTGTACATTTCTGGAAGTTCGTACGAGCTTTCGCGGCCATTAACCTTTATATGGCCGGCATTTGGTAACTTTTATGACCTTTGAAAGTTTAAATTTTCTTTCAAAATCGCTTATAGCTCGCGCTCGGCTACCGTTCCCTCGTCGGAAACAAGCGTACCGATCTTGGACGCCGTGTACAGTTTGTTTCTTCCTCCGCTGTAATCCGAGTTCGGATATCACGCGCGAGCTAAATTACTACTTTCCTTCTTCCTTCTTATCCCGGTTTTCTCTTAGCTGTCGAGTAATTTTACCACTAAATTTCTCTTCGGACAAAAAGTATCCAATAAAATATTATAGTATTCTATTAGATCTAAGTTTTCAGGCATGTTAAATCAACATAATTAACGGGAACTTTATAAATAGAATATAAGATAAAGATAAAAGAATTATTAAAATTAGCTAAAACCAATTAGCATATCCTTAAAAAAAAACGAATTCTATAATATTCCTTGATATAAAGAGAAAAATAACATATAATGTCAAGAAGTGCAGGAAAAGTTTTCTATAACACAATAATATCATACAAAATATGTATACTGCATATGTTTTCTTTATTTCAGACATGTATAAATTCTAAATATATAAATATATATTTACGCGTATTTTTGTATGCTTTTTCATACAAACTTGTACACAATCATTTTTTAAAAATAAATATTATAATTTTTTAAATCATTGTTTGTTTAATCAGGAACCAATGACGAGGACGTAATGATTATTGATCTTTCTTTTGGTTTTGTTTGTTTTTTTTTGTTTACTTTTCATTATTTTTGTTTGTATTCTATATTTTTTATATTTTTATTTATTTTTTTGTTTTATTGATTATATATAAACCTGTATGTAAAACGCATTAAAAAATCGATGTATATACGTGTAATAATTTATATCTATTTGATTGTAATTATAGATATATAAGAAAAAATAATCATTTTTTTTAAGTTTTTCTTAAATATATTATATCTTTTAAAAAATATACTTAAAGAATATACAAAATAAATAAAAATGGATACTAAAAATAAAATAATAAATAATTAAAAATGTTAAAAACAAAATAACATGAATAATAACAGAAATAAGTAATGGAGCCAGTAATCACATTGTCTTTAGATTTAATAAAGATTGATTTAAAAAGTTATTTATTAAAAATGACTTGGGTATAAATTTGTATGTAAAATGCATTTAGAAACGAGCGTAAATATATGTGTTAAAATTTACCTAAGTCTGGTTCTATAGAAAACATAGAGTGCTTTCCAACGACATGTGACACAGTTTAACACAGTGAATCATCAACTTTGTTGTTTGTCAATGTTAAACAAAGATGAAATGATCACCGTGTTACACTGTGTTATACTGTGGTTCTTGCTGGAAAGCACTAATAATATCTCGTATTCTGTATGTACTTTATATAATGTTATATTGTTTGTTATTTTTTCATACAATTTTTCTGCACTTTCATTATAAATGTTATTTTTCTCTTTTATATACATAGAGTGTTAAGAAACACTGGATTAATTTTTTGTATACATCAACATTCAGATATTTATTAATAATTGGCTTCGTTAGAAGATAACAAAAAGTGATGCAGGACGACATCGCAGCGAGACCTTTTTTTCTACGATGGAAAAAAATATTTTATCATCGAAATCACGTCACGAGGAATAGTTGTGCACTAATTTCTACATTACGTCAACAAAATGTCATGTAATCGCTATTCATACCCATAGTAATGAAGCCTGTCGTTCCAGTTACGACGACGGATAGAAAATTAGTAATTTACGTCGTCCAAGTTCAGAGCCGGGTGCCTATTACCTTGTCATTAGGATTCTTCCCGTCTCCATGATTTCTAAGCTGTAGGGGTATAGAGTGTACATTAGGTTGGGATCGCCCGCAGCACGATAGGATAGTTAGTACCTACTACCCCTGGATTTGCATACGCTAACGAGATTCCTGCGGTTTTGCCGATGCTTTGCATGCTAGCCGCGCGCGATTTCGCGGAGCAACGCGACCGACTACGTCTATTTATTATGCGTCATAGATACGTCGGGGTATGAAAGCCGGTCCGTGGGAACATCTCGGCGAATTTGCGAATTTTGCCGGCGGTCCCTGGATGGAATTACGCGAACGTGATATCTTGTCTGTTATGATTATGGCATTCTCCCGTTTCGTCAGAGAGGAAAAGAGAGGAAGATTTACTTTGCCGCACTTTTGGAAAACGTATAACCTCGGAAAAATATATCGCTCATGTAAATCATGCTTTATCGTGCCGTTTATCCGAAATGGTCATTGGCATTTCGCGTAAACTTCAATCTGGAATATGACCTCGTTGCGTTCCAGCGTAATTTTTGTTGCCAACGTTGCTTGACCGTTTTTGCCTGGAAACATCACTGCGTTTCGTCAGTAATGTTTCCTGAAATTTAGAGAAAACAAGTGGCGGCCCGACGCTAACTAATATTTATTAGAGCATAAGCAAATCATATTAATCTTCATAATTACACATCTCGGGAAAATATCCTTTCTTTTTTTTAAAAATATTTTATTATTTTGGACACGATATTACAGAGAGCGTAACAAGAACTGTGCGATGCGAACGCTACGCAAAACAAAAATACATTATTCGCAAAATTGTACCTGATACGCGATAAATTATATCTGATATACATGATAATATTATTTAATAATCGTTCATCGAGACAATGCTTAAAATGCGATGTTTTTCTCTACTGTTGTGACTCCTACAGATATATCGGGGAGTAAATTTATGTTTTAATGCTATCAAGTTTTTATTTATACAAGTCTTTATTTATACAACGAGAGAAATTTTTGCCGCAATAACGTATTTCATGATATTCATGTTAAGGCGCGCCGCGATCTTAAACATTAATTTACGAATCTTGAGAACCGTGGTAATCTAAAATTTCCTCTCGCCAAGAGTGCCAGAATAGCGGGGGAATAATCAGTCAACCTAATTGATAATTTACTAATGGCGGCTCCGCGTAGTCTTTTAATTATACACGGGCGAACTGCCGAGCCTCCGATATTTGCTCCGGTGAGTTTCAACTTTTAACTATCGAGTTAACTCGCGTTAAATAAATGGTACGCCTTTTTCCCCACCTTTCGCGCGTTTCCTAGAAATCGTAATAATCCCTACAGAAATCTTACAGTAATATTTTAATAGCGCGCAATATTACAAAAATTACAGCAGTATTGTACAATATCGAAATTATAATATTTGATTGGAAAGATTGCAACAATATTGTGAAATATTGTAACATGAATGTTTTGTAAAAAATTATAATATATTGCTGCAATATTATAATTCAATAAATGAGTATGCGACCTCACTACAAGATGGACTCACTTCTCTCATAAAAAGAAAACGCCCAGAAATCCTATAAGAAATATACAAATCGAGTTGACGAGTCTTTTAGAGGTTCCCAAACTCTTTCCGGTGTGCTTTCTTGGCTCCCTGTTTTAGAATAATTTTGTTGCATGTATTTGAAAAGTGATCCTAATCAATAATATTTTAATGATAAAAATTTATTATTTATTGAAATATTGTATTATCTGCAGCAATGTTTTATGAAATATTACAATCTTTTAAAGTAATATTGCTATAATGGTTGTAATATTTCGCGCTGTAAAGGGAGAGTAAGTAAAGAGGGAGAAAATGTATGTTGCATCTTTGCCCAAATTATATTGCATCTCTCGTTTTGCATCAGCACAAAAGCGCATTCTAAAATAAATATTCCTTATCATAAATATTCATCAATATCGATATCAATAATGCCGACGGCGATGAAGGGATTCTCTCTTTCGGATGAGTACGAAAACTTTTGGTAAAGTTAACGTTATCTCACCGCCAATATGTATCTGCGCCGCAAAGTTTACGAATTTATCATTTTAGGAAACTGAGAAATGAGAACCGTGTGCCGCAAAATGGCGGTTTTATCTGTTTATTTCATTATACATTGACCGCTATCTATCATAATATTTTTGCTGTTTACGAATTAACAATGTAATGATATCGTTTTCTCGTTTCTGACATTATTGATAAGATATCATCCGCTATTGGGTTTTCTGTTTCTATCCAGACGATTTGTAGATAACTCCGCGGATCGACGGGATATTGCGACGACAATTGGCACAGTTTTTTTATTTGGATTATTTTTAAATGGCTTTCACGAGTCGACGGGAGATATCGTCAGGTCGCGAACTTAAATTCGTGATGGTTCGCTTTCACATTCGACAATCGATTTGGACGTACGTATAAAAGAGAGGAGCAAAAAAAAAAAAAGGAGAGCGTAGAAATATATGGAGGCGGCTATAACGCGGTGCGTTAGACACGGAGAAAAGGCGGGGGTAACATTTGATAGGTTACAAAGGGTAGCATTTGGAAACTTTGGGGTATGCGTAATCTCTGGCCGTAACGTCTGTTAACAGAGATCGCGCCGCAGCTGGTCTACAGGTTTATCGAACAGACAATGCAGCCTGGTCCATCGGTTTCTCTGAAATGCAGCGCCGCGGGTAATCCCACGCCGCAAATTTCCTGGCTGCTAGATGGATTTCCGCTTCCACAAAACGACAGGCTCCTGATTGGCCAATATGTGACCGTGTACGGGGACGTAATATCCCACGTTAATATCACGACTGTAAAGCCCGAAGACGGCGGCGAGTACGAGTGCATTGCCAGCAGCCGCGCTGGCGATGCGAGGCACTCGGCGAGGCTCAATATCTACGGTGAGTCAATGCGAAAGTCAAAAGTCAGCAAATACGTTTTTCCGTAATTAAAATACTGCAGAAAGCCATGATTACGACTTTAGTACAGTTGAACTCGATTACTTATTTATCACGAACAAACGTGGTGGTGGTGTTATTCCATTCCTGTATCATTAAATATTAAACTTGCAGTTTGATCAAATCCAAGGGTGTCAGAATTGTCCTTTTTCGCTCGGCGATATTAAAAATCTGTTTTATCTATTTTTATTTTTTACGCGGCTCTGTCTCCCTGGAATCGAGAGAACAGAGAACTAGATTTCCTGCTGGAAATTTATAACTTTATGCTGTTTCGCGTGGCTGCAGCGTAACGAGCTTTACTGCTTTCTAATCTCAGGACTGCCATACGTCAGACCGATGTCGCCCGTTTCAGCGGTCGCGGGGAAGCAACTATATATCAAGTGTCCTGTAGCCGGTTATCCTATTGAATCGATCGTGTGGGAAAAAGGTAAGCATCGTGCGTCATTTCTGTTAATCCCCAACCGAATAACGGGGAGTTTTGCCGTACGTTTATTCAATATTTCTATTGCGGCGAAAGATACGTTGAAGCCTGTCATTGATCTCCCGCATTGATTGATCATTCTCTTTTGTAACAAGTATAATGTGCAGTATTAACTGCGTATACACTGTTAAATGTGTATTATTAAATTCATAATGTCAGATTATATTTCAGTTATTTTTAATCATATCTATAAGTCACTGCTTCTATCTAATATATCGTTAATTTGACAAAGACAATGATATATTAAATTTGAGTCAAATTTAATATATCTTCTTAAGTGAAACAATTTTACTCAAGAAGAGATATTAAATTTTACTCAATTAAATTTTACTAAATTTAGTTTATTTGATAAATGCATATGTTAATATCAACGATGTATTTCGAAACTATCAGAAATGGATTGATTTACATTTTGACACAGATGGAAGTTAAAATAAAATATTATCTAACTCATGAGATTATTGCCCCTTTGATATTTAACAGTGTATCATGTCAAATTTGAAATATTTTTAATTATTTCTATAGATCACCATTGTTCCTATCCAATGTCGTTAATTTAATTAAAATAATTAAGTTGAATTATTTAACTGAAGAAATGTATTAAATTTGATTTAAATTTAGTTTATTATTTAGCTAGGAAAACCTGGAATTGTTCCTCATCAATTTTGATGGGCTTTGGATATATTGCATAGCAGTGATACGCACTTTTTAAGGGTCATTTTTAGAGGGCTATTTTCAGAAAGAGATAAAATCTTGCTCACCGCATAATGTTCATTTCATTTTGCGTAAAATAGAAAATATGATTTTTTACTACGAGTCACACAAGTTGCAACAGACTGCAGGTTGTGCATCACTGTAGAGCATCAAAAAATATTACATCCATTTTTTTATCTTCTTATTTCGAGGTTTAAGGGTCAAAACAACCTCTCGAAAATAACGTATTTTTGCATTTTTAGCGAATATCTTGAAAACTATGAGGTATTATATATAAAAAATACTTTATACAAAAGTTTTGTGACATTTTATGTGTTCTTAATAATAACACCTTCATATTTTTTTTATATCAAATTTTTTAATTTATCTCTCTATTTTAAGAGTCGTTCGAACCCTTAAACCTTGTGATAACCAGATTAAAAAATATGAGTTTAACATTTTTTTGATGCTCTGCAATCTATTTTCAAAGCCCATCAAAATCGATGATGGACAGTGTTGACGGTTCCCTTATAATTGCGTATGTTAATATGGATATCGTTTATTTTGAAACTAAGCAATTCAGACACAGAAATGGATTAATTTACATTTTGATACACATGGAAGTTAAAAATAACAAAATGTTAATTAATTTAAGGGATTGGGTTGATCCTATCTAACGGACTAGTTCATCGAATTTATGATGCGTGTTTTATTATATGTTTGCAAATTAATTTATGCGGCTAAGGATCGATTCGAAAATGTGAAATATTTACGTCTCGCAGAATCAAGTATCGTCATTGGATATTTGAAAAAATATTTTCGAACTCGAGGACTACCCTTTAATCGATGCCGAAACGTTGTTATCAGGGGACATAAAACTGCCTACCAACATGAGACAAAGAGTCGCCAACGGCACGCTGTTTATCGATACTGTGCAACGCAGCGCTGACGAAGGCACATACACATGCACTGCCAGAAACAAACATAATTTCACGTCGCATCGCTCGGTCGAAGTACGTGTTTTAGGTAAGCAAACGTAGCCAACAGTTCTGTATAATTCCTCGCGATATTGAGCACCGGAATTTAAAGTGTTCGTAAAATTAGCATTTGAAAATGAAGAGGTTACTTTACGCGCGCGAGCGCTTTACTCGCGAAATGAAACGATATATCGTTTCTTTGCCCTCCGAAGTGGAGGAAAAAGATATTTCGCGGTCTTGCTACCGAGATAATAATTTCTTACGACAATACTTTTAATGCGATATATTGTTATATTTAATTGGCGCAATTTTTACAGTATGATAACTTCATTACCTAATGGCGTACAGGTAAAAGGTATATAATATCTCTTCTATAAAGGTACATAGTTTGTTTTAAATTAAGGTTAACGGCAAAAAGTTCACACTGGAAAAAGAATCTACACTGTTAAATTCATATAATTTCAAATTGAATTATTTTTAATATCTCGTCTTAATTTATAACTAAAAAAAAATGGAGTTAAACAATTTATATAACTGAAGGAAATATATTAAATTTGATTCAAATTTAGCTTATTATTTATTAAGCTCATATATTAACATGAATGTTGTTTATTTTGAAATTAATCACAGAAATGGGTTGATTTATATTTCCACTTATTGAAATTAAATATACAAAATGTTATTAAAAGAATTAGATTATTATTCTTTTTTAATATCTAACAGTGTATAATAACAATCAAATGTTGAGTAAGATCATTTCAATCAAATTGGTGTTACAAATTTGGTTAATATTACATAATAAAAAGTAATTTACTTCTCTAAATATATATTTAGCAAGTATATTACCAAGTATAATAATATAATTAACCGTTTTGTAATAATGAAATATTTAGAAAAGTGGAATTATTTTTGCTGGTACATTTGATTGAAATTATTTTAGTAGCACATTTAATAGCAAATTATTAGACTCTTTTTTTCAGTGCAGTAAGTTTTACGTGAAGATTTAGTAAAAATTTTCGCTCGAAAAATCTATCATTTTTGCAATTTGCCCCCGCAATATCGAAGCGCGATTATATCACAGGCGCACGTTAATATGCATTCTCCCTTTGTCGAACATATTAACTATCCATTGCCCGGCGCCTCATCCGACTGTATTAATTGCAGCCCGTTTATACATAACGTGTGCGGCATGCAACGTTTGACGCGCGTTGCCGATTTTATCTTTACATAATGTTTCTATTAGGTTCATCAACCTAACTCTATATGGAGCGTTGTTTGACGTTGGGCAGGATTAATTAGTACGGGACAACATCGACCCGAGTCTTTGGTTTATCGCATTGCACATCGTCCCTCGGAATACATGGGTGCTTTTCGCACGAGAATCCTATCGATCCTATCGATCGCATATGCACGCGTCACCCGGATGCGAATTGCGCGAAAATTAGGATAGAGAGTTTTGCATTGCCGAAGGAATATATTTCGACAAAATTTTTTTTTCACGTTGGACGATTACAGAGTGTAAACGTATTTAATTTTTTTTTTTTTCGGTTTTGATTTTGATTGACCATTTCATTTCTATATCGCTCGGCAATTACATTGTATAATTTGGAAAAAAAAACGAGAAAAAGGGAGGATATATAATGTTTAGGTTTCTGTTGAAATGCGATGGCACTGTGCAATTTTCAGCTCCGCCTCGCCCTGGATTTTGGAGGCTTTCCTGAAATCGTATGGGATTTTTTTTCTGATGAGGAGAACAATTTTATATGTATATACATTTATTTTACTGTGATGCAAAACGCGCGTATTGCGCACGTTCATACATAAAATGATGTAAATATAACGTTCCGGAAATCGCGCTGAAACTGAACTGAACTGTTTTCGACTAGCTGTATTTTTGCTTAATGTTTAATATTTAATTTGGAACATATATTAAATGTTTCGGCAAAACACTCGAGTTACGAGCTAAAGCACGATTAAAATCATCATGCTACATGTGCGGGACTTGTTTGAAATGAAATTAAACACGGTATTTTGCGTGAGAATGAAAAACAAGTGTCATTTTTCTTAGCTGTGGCCCACAGCGCTTTTCGTAAAGCTGCCTCTACATAATTCGCAAATCGTAAAATGTAGTTTCGCAAAAACGCAGACGCGGAATGACGTACTACCGTACGCAAGATACGCGCATAGGTGCAAACCAATCGCGCGCGATGAATTGAATTGCGACAGCGTTGACATTTTAAAGTGTTAACATTTTAATTTAAATCAGATTAGAGAAACTTATGTGTCTGATATTTCACGAAAATTTACAAAAAGGATAGCTTTCTGCTGACAAATGAGCAAATACAAAATTCATTCTCGCTATTCTTTACTGTTTTTGAATTGTTCAACACAGTCGCAGAAATTAAAGTGACGGTCCAATCTATGTAGGGCTTTTCATTTAGTAATACAAATCGATACAAGTGTCTTTTTATTTTGTCACTCTCTGAATGTCAAGAAAGATAGAATAATGTGTCGACTTGTGTCACTGAATAGTAACAGAAAGCACCCATAGATCATTATTCGGAAAAGGCAGATTTTTTTGCGTCTGCGTTTACGCGCTACGTTTTGAAATTTGCGAATTACGTAGAGGCAGCTTTCAAGCGAACGCGCGATTTCCGGCGACATTCGTGATACGCGTACGCCAGGCGTACGCCGTGCGTGCTGAAGACGTGTTCGGAAATGACCTATGCACAGAGCACAGCACCTCACTGCATCGCTCAAGCATTCCTCCTTTGCACGCGCTCGCCTAAACTGCTCTGTTCTACTCCACAATATTTTTATGTACTCGTGTACTTGTGTACATAAAAATCCAGCTGCCACGTATGTACGTAACGTATTGTACATAAGACAGACGATGCGACGTACTACGTGCAGATGTTGCACGGGGTATTACCGCAAAACATCTTTCGATCGTAATGTCTCCTGTACGTGTGCACATAATGGAGGATAACGCGCGCGACTTTTTTTCGTGATGCTATATTGTGCGAGTTCTATATTAAATTCGTAATACCCCGTGATGCGTGAAACAGTGTATAGAATTAAATAATAGATATTTAATAAATAATAATCCCCCCATGGTGATTGCAGGATATGTCAACTTTGCCGACGATAAAACATCGATACAATGTGTAAACAGTTATCTATGATTGCAAAATTGAATGCAAAATTGGGGAGTAACGCGTTATCGTTACTTGTAACGCCGTTACCGTTACTATTTTTTTTTCTAGTAACAATCGTTACTTTTTTTATATCTGGAATAGTAACGAATGTTCGTTCGGTTGTTATTTTTATAGTTACTTTAGTTCTGTATTATCTTTGTATTCTGTAGATTGTATTATTTTTTATCAAATAGAAATATTCTATTTAAATAGAAGTTAATATTAAAAAATATTTTATACTTAAGTTGCATTCTGATAAGTCACTGTTAATATTGAAAATAAGTATAGTAGTATACATATGTTTAATGAATTGTAGATTTTCAATACTGGCAGTGAATATTAGAATATACTCTTAACAAAGACATTAATATACCATGTTTGATAAAAATTTAATTTGTAAATTACAGTCTAAAGATTATTGTATTAAAAATTAAAAAATGTTAATATAAAGAATTAGAAGGTACTTTTTTTAAATAATAATACAAAGAAATGCTTGTAGAGACTAGTTTAAAATTTTAATACTAATTATTTATATATTTAATATCGGTTATTATATACCGCAATTTTTTCAAATATCTTACTTTAATATTACAAAAAGAAAATCATTATTTTCTAAATAATGGTAATATATTACTTGTTAAACTTAGTAACGAGTAACGGTAACGCATTATTTTTATAAAGTAACGTTCTCTGGTTGAATGTTTCCTTCGAGTTTCCGTGTTTCCGATCTACCAAAATTTTCAAACACGTTTGTTCAATGCGTGTACACAAAGTTTGTTTCGTTCTAAATACGGAGTTTACCGCGGAGATTGCGTCGGCAAACTGAATATTCTGTTGAAAATCACCGACGCGATTGCCTTTCATTAAAATTGCACACGTTCTTTCTCTCAACCCGTTGTCGATCTATAAACGTAACGAAGCAATGCCCTAAGAGCATCTCATGTCACGATATCGGATACGTCTGTTTAATTTGCGTTATTCGCATGAGAAATACTCGTTTGTCAACGAAAAACGTTGTGTACGATACATGATTTACAAAATTTTTAAATTAAAAAGCAAGAAAGTCACATATCGCACAAAATATTTCTCTCAATGTAAAATCCGTTTGCGACGGGAGAAATACGATGAATAAAAAAATTTGCAATCATGCGTGAAGTCGAAGCGACGGGAAGTCTCGAAAAATGAGGATTGCAATTATCTCGGAATCGAGATCGACGAATGTTCTCTCACTTTCTCATTGCGATGCGCGCAGTCTTGATTTCTGCCGTCAAGACCAAGTCGAGTCGAAGCCGCGAAGAGAAAGGATCGATTAATCTCACCGCATCTCAGAGCATCGAGTCTCAGAGCATCGGGTTGGTTTCTGTTGGTTTCTGACGTATACCGTATCGGACGCGGAGTTGCTCTCTTCCTTCCTCGAACGGCCTGAATCCTACCACGTAACACGTAACACGTTGCTGCTGGAATCGTGCCGTTCTGAAAAATTGCTTTCCGTTCGAAGGCGCATCTGGAGCGACGATTACGACCGTTTATCCTTTCATCCTCTCCACAAGCCTACAATCGTGAACCGACCGAATCAATCCCATCCCTGATGATATTCCCGAATCCCGACTAACGACTACAATCACATCGTGATTCTCTAGTGATCTGAACTGCTTTGATGGAATGCCACCTTGTCTGTATTGTTCTTTCAGTGCCACCTAAAATCACGCCTTTCAGTTTTGCTCGCGATTTAAACGTAGGGGACCGTACTAGCGTACAGTGCGTAGTCGTGACCGGCGACCTACCACTGACATTCACGTGGCTCAAAGATAACGTCCCGATAGAGACGGTCAGGACGTTGCCGTCGTCGCAGGATGCGGGCAGCCGCGGTCGGTCGCCGGCCGGTCCTGGGATGGACGCGATCGACGCGATGATTAACGGGGGCCCCAAGCTAAGGGGCCCTGTCACCATGACCGCCTCCGGCCCCGGGCATGACGAAGCGTCCTCCTCGTCCCAGAGAAAGAGCATTACCATCGGGATACATGACGCTTTTACCAGCGCCCTGAGCATTAGCACGATCGCACCCGCGCACAATGGCACGTACACCTGTCGCGTGACCAATGGCGCTGCAACCGTCGCTCACTCTGCACTCCTTCACGTCAACGGTAAACGCACACCGTTGGTGTAATAGACTGACCGACGACCGTGTTCCGGAATCGGTACTTGGCACGGTTACGGCGATCATTTGGGATGCTTCTTCTCTCGTTTCTCTCTCTCTCTCTCTCTCTCTCTCTCTCTCTCTCTTCTTTTTTTCTTTCTTTCTTTCCTCTTTTCGTCACGATCGAGAGAGACGCGCGCCCGCAACTCTCAACGCCAAATACACCGGCATCGTATTTCGGAACACGGAACGCCCGGTCGGCGCTCATCGGGATGCCAACGACGACGTCGAGGGACGTGGAAGACTCGAATGGATTCGCGCCACGTCTTGCGGAATAAGATCGCGTCGGCGACGTGCGAGAGCGGATTATCATTGAGATTCGCGAGCTGAGGCGTCGATCGTGATAGGACCGGACTGGCAATTTTCCAGTTCGTTGGCTGGTATAGCGGCGATGGAAAGTAACTGATTGATCGGCACGTAGGGAAACACCGGTGCCGCCGGCCATCGTTTGTGCTCTCCTCGACGCGACGGCTCTGCTGGGCTCTGCTGGGCTCTGCTGGGCTCTGCGCCGCGACGATCGATCAATCAACGCGTCCGACCTCGCGCGATGCGTACCGTAATCAATTTTGTTTTACCTCAAGAATAAAAAGAGCAATGTCTAAATCGCTATTGGTTTCCGGGGCGTAATTCTGTGAAAGAGAATCTTCGCGCGGGGTGTGTCGTGATTCGTTACATCGCCATCGTCGCGAGAGAGAAGCCTCATCGTTGTTCGCCGACTGTTTGAGCGCCGACTGCATTCCGGCTCGTCCACGATGATCTTCGATCATTGAGATTTAAGATCGTTCGACGTGACCGTTTCTGCTACACGCTGATCCAAACTGCACGCGTATCCAACTCGCCGGATCGGTATTTTCAAAGAGGATTTCGGAGGGGGGGGGGGGAGAAAAGAAAAGAATGAAGTACTGCCGCGAAAAAGCTATAATATCCGATTCGGCGTGTTGCCAGCTTTTTCTCAGATTACTTTCGATTTTGAATCGTTCTCTCTTTCTTTCATTCTTTCTCGTCCTGCACGCGGTTCTCTTTGCACGCCCATCTGCACGCTTTGATCGAGTTTTCCTGCAACCACTATCGATACCTATATGTGTATTATACGTACTGTATATAATCTTGGCAATGTCTTTGGCTCTCCCTTCCCCGTATTAGCGATATCCGAGCGGCCCAAAGTACTTGTCCAACTCACATTCGTTTTTCCAACGTCATGAATTTTTTATTAGAAATCAAGTATCGATAATAAAAGCTTTGGAAATATATTTTAAATGTATGAAGAAACGCCTTTTTTATATAAATACTGAGCAATTAAATATTTATTTAAGTACTTATTTTAAGTGTTACATCAGTGTTTTTAATACTTAAAATAAGTAATTAATCTTAATCGGTATTTTGAGTTCAGATATTTTCTTCAACTAAGTTGTGAGAAATTGTTTATAACAAATGTTTTTCACAACATTACACATACATAATTTTAAGTTACATTATATTGTTTTTTGAATTTTGATTTTTAAAAAATTATTTGATTAACTTCAAGCACAAAGATACATTAATTTAAAGTACATTGGACTCGCGAATAGTTAAGAAAATTTCGGAGCAAATACCGACTATGGTTAATCACCTTCTAGTTTCTATAATTTCTATAAGGGAAAACGAATGAGAATTATATAAACACATTGAAAATTAGGGCATTTTTGACGTTTGGTTGCTTGTATATTCCTATTTATTATAGTATATCTACTTACAATTAAATACCCCGACTGCGACATCGAGAGGTCGTAACAGAATGTGGGAAATCGCATGCAAGAACGGAGAAGCGAGATTTTTCTTTAACGAAGTCGAAATCTCGATGTCGCAGCGAGACCGTAAAATTCTCGTACTGGTTTTCCTATTCGCACAGGTGTATGCATCGTCCAGCATTGGTATTCAAGAGACACGAGTAATGTTTTGACTGAATATATTACATTTGTCCATTTCTCCTAGTACTCTACACGTATATATACACACGGAAATCGCTGTTAACGATATTTCTGCGATATCCCGTAGGAAACGTATTTTATACGTTTCGTATTTTCATTCCTTTTTTTTTACGAATGACTCATTATACACTCTGTTACTCATTACTGTGTTGTATGGTATCACATTTTGAGCGTTTTAATAACGAAGTCGTCATTTTATTAATGTAGCAAAGAGTTTTATGATAATGTGTTTAAGCTCGAGGTATATCATACATATATTTATATATACTTTGTGTAACGTCATTTTCACCATCACTATATTGTTACGATATTATTATGGAGACTGTAGTGATATTTGTATCCAAAGGGGCATTCGACGCGAGAGATCTCTGAGAAATGTTCGATATATATAATTCTTCTGCATGCATGAGTTTCAAAGAGAAAAAAAAGAAAAAAAGTACTACCTGAAATCGAATCACGAACGATTGCATCATTTCGCGATACACCCAGAGATCTGTCGTGATCCTTAGATCTAATTCCACATTTGAAATTTCGTCTATTGGTAGGGTACCTCTCGGTAAGTAAGTCTGCGATACGTAACCGAGAAAGAAGAGTATATCTTCGAAGGATAAAACGTGTGCAGGTGTCTCATGCCGGATGAGCGGTCGTTATGGCGCATCTCGCCAGGCCAGGATCGCGATTCGGGTATGGCTCCACGTACGCACGACTCGCATGAGAAATCTATTTTCAAAAAGAGAGAAGCCGAGGCAGGGTGCCTCTCTCGGTCGCCAAGTTTCCACGCACCGCGACATTCCCGCGAAACAAATTTATTACGCCAAGTTTCCCCTCCCCGCGCGGGGGGGGGGAGATAGGGTGAGAAAGGAGGTGCGGGCTTATTTCCAACTTCGCGGTCTCCTCATAAAGACACATCGGCCGACATTAACAGTTATGCTCGCTCGTAAATGTTCATTTCCCAAGCTACATCGCTACGTTCGCGTTATACTCTCGACGGGCACGTTACGTACGTACGTACGTAACGCCGCCCGATATTTATGGCCATGCCACAATTTTCCGCGGACCTTCCTGCACGCACGCGGTACGCGGTGCGAGGAAGGAACCGTCGCGCGTCGCGTTGCACCTGTCCTTCCCGTCATCGAGCTGGAAGAATAAACCAACGCGACGTTGCGTAAGATATACGTGCAAGCCGCATGATTTTGCCCTCGTTATTTCGACGACGAAATCTCATCTAATCGAATCGTGCTGCGATGCGTTAACAGGTAAAATATTACTTAGCCAATACGACGAAAAATAAGGGAGGATGACTTACGGTTGTTACATATGGTCCCCCACTTATGGTAACGTTGCATGCATTATCGTGTCCCCCCCCCTCTCTTTCCGTAAATTGCAAATCAATTGTGCGTGTGCACAAGACGCGGTCCGAAAGATGCAAAATCGTCGATCGATGACGCGCCCTAAGGCGCGGTAAAACGCCGGGCAGCGCAAGACCAGAGGTGCATACTCTCCATTATCATGTCACAACGTAACGTTTATAGTTCCGCCGCGGATCTCGCAATTTTTTTTCGGAGACGGTGTGATGGAGGGGCAGCGAACACAGCTTATGTGTACGACGAGCCAGGGTGACCAGCCGTTCAACATCACGTGGTTGATGGACGAGAAACCAATTCAGGTCGGATCGACGAAACCAGCAACGGCATACAGATAAGCGACTATCCGCCGTTTTCCAGCATCCTGACGATAAATAGCGTCAGCGCTAGCCACAGCGGCAACTACACGTGTCAGATCAGCAACGTCGCTGGCCTGGCCGAGCACTCGACCAGCCTATCAGTCGCTGGTTGGTGTCCCGAGAAAAACTGACGTAGTCGTAAGAAAACTGTGTACATAAAGCGTCCACAAATAAGAACCTTCCTTTTTCGCTATTTCCCCATCTTTCTCTCTATTTTTCTGTTTATTTATCTCTCTATCTATCTACCTACCTATCTATCTATCAATCTATCTCTCCTTTTTTCTCTCTCTGTTTTTTTCTCTCTCTCTCTCTCTCTCTCTCTTTCTTTTTCTCGTACCTTTGTCCCACTTTTCTTGTGTATAGGTGTGTATACGCGTGTATGTATACGCATATACATATATACATATATATATGTATATACAAGGCAGATATACAGTTCGTATCACAGCGCAGAATTCGAAGAAACGTCGAGCAAGATTCGGTTTTCGTTTTTTTATTTAATCCGCTCCTGTGTTCCGGGTTACTCGGACGACTTTTCCGAGCCGTTGATGACATCCCTAGAGAAGGGACTGCGATACGAGTCCCTGTTCGCCGGATCGTAATCTTATATGTTAGTATCTGATTTCGCCAATTTAAAACACCATTCTTCGTTTCTCTGAAAAAATTTCTCCTTTGGTAGCGTAAGTTGGATGAATCTTAAAAATTTATTTCACTTTTGTCAGTACAAAAAGTAAAGTTTTATCAATATTTATAAGAGTCTTAAGCCATTTGAAATTGCGCGTAAAGCTTAAAATGTATAAAAATCGATTCATGTTGAGAATATACTTTTATAAAAAAATGTTTAAAATTCTCGATAGGTACAATCAGGGATATATTTCAATATACTTTATTTAGGTATACAGATATTTTAAAACAGAGTAGCTATTTCAACAAAATATTTCAAACTATGGTTCACATTTCGTGCTCACAATAATAGTGTTAATTGTGAGCGACATAATAGAATACAATTTTGTTGGGATTATTATTACTCGTTTATTTTATAAAGAAAATATTTAATATACACGAGAAACAATTCTATTTGAATCTAAAAAAAACTTAATCATCTGACTTTTTTATAAAGTCAAGAAAAACAGTCAGTCGGTTACCGATCGCAATGCGATATCCAGAATAACTTTGAGGATTAATTTATGGGTATATATGTTAATGGGGTTTCGCCGGATTTAGTTCTTAGCGGTCTCACATTCGCTAGAGAGCAATATATTATTCCTATCCATTTCGACTCAAATTCTATAGGATATCAAAAGATTCGTACATTTCGTTATACGGACCCACATATTACGGCACGTAATGGCGCCTGTTCCTAATGCGTATAAAATACGACGAGATCGCTAGGTTTTCGACATCTGAAAGCCATTAAAGATTTTCCAGCGACTGTCGCGCGGCAAAGGAATTTCCTCAAAGCGAAATACGATCCCTTAACCTCGACAGAAGTTATACGCGCGTAACAAATTGGAGGACGAATGTGCTACAATTTTTCAAGAATAAACATCAAAGGAGTAAGTAACAATGGTAATTGGCTATTCCATAAAATAATAAAAAGAATTAAAGTTAATGATTTAATTTGACGTTGCAATTGTGAATATTTAACAAATTTCGAGGTAAAGTAATATAAAGCAATAAATTAATAGATAAAATTTTAAACATCCTGCCAGCATCGATGCGAATCTTTTACAATCGAATTTCTCGGTCTATTATGTTTATATGTTCTTTGAAAGTACTGCAGTCATATTATAGGGTACACACCAGACTTTCGTAATATTTGCCAAATGGAACGTAAGTTCCACGTTCAATGTCCTTTCGAGTTCACTTTGTGTTCATCGTGCAACGGAGTACCAAGTGCAGTATACTGCACTTTTCAGTTTCATGATACTGTAATACCTTTGCCGCCACGGCTTACGATCAGCACATACGTATGTATATCTTCGCACATACGTATGTATATCCGTTTCAGCGCATTCTTACATGCACTGATATTTTTCGTATTATTTCGATTTGATCGCGTTATATATATCCTATTCAATTTATGCCCGGATATATGTATTACTTGTATCTCTGATTCTATCCTTTTTCTATTTCATTGAAATATTCTGTACTATTACTTGTATCTCTGATCGTACTGCTTGCATTCGGTCGTCTCAAGTACACAATTCAAAATTTTGTTTTAAAAATATACATTTCACGTGTTTTAAATAGTTCACTCAAGTCTTTGTGGTAATTTAGCGCAAGATGAATATATTAGAAAGTAACACAAATGTTATTGTAAAAAAATATAACTACTAGAAACATAAAATTGACACAATTTGTAAACAAACTGTGAAAGCATATTTTTCAATAAAATTAATATTTATGTTATTGAATTGATATTATTTTCTTCATTAAATCAACATTAATTTATTAATTTATTCATCTATTAGATTTTACATTTAAAAATTTTTATATTACATTATTTTTATTTTTATATTATTTGTTCCTTTACTCATATTGCGTTATTTTGACATTAAAAAATATTGAATATCAATTTAATACAAAATATTCAAATAATATAATTATATTATATTAAATTGACATTCAAATATGTTACAAATTTTAATAAGGACTTGAGTGGATCGATTTTAATATCAAAAAATAGAAAATATTTTTTACTTTGTATTTCTGTTACTACTACTTACGTGTCGGCATATTATATGTATATGTCTGCAGGTCGTATTATTTGCACGTTACCATATATTATATGAAGTATGTTTGTTACTTACGCGCCGATGTACTACGTATGTCTGGTTGCTCTATTTGCACGCGGCCATACCAAGTTCGTTACTACTCGCTGGATACGTACGTCTCCAGTCTGGTTGTACTACTTACGTATTTCGTCTGGTTGTACTACTTACGTATTTTGTCTGGTTGTACTACTTACGTATTTTGTTTTCACATTCGATGCATCCAGTTCGAAAGAAGCAATTTGGTGAAAATTGCCCATTAATTGTCCTCCAATTAATGAATAATTGTTAAAAATAATTTTTTTTTTTTAAGTGCATAAAGGTGAGATTGAAAGGTAACAACAGAGAAAGGAAATTCGATAATTCTGAAATCGTAGTCGCGCTATCGAAAACAATACCTGGCATGATGCCGCCATATCCCGATTTCTTTCGTTTGTCTTCGAGGATAGCTCGATAGAATTTTCGTTTGCCATTGGAAATCGAGGATCACGCACAGGCAAGAAATGCTTGGACAGATAAATCGTGATAGACGACAGATGTATCGCCGACTTTACTTGTTTGCATGCTCGTCAGCGAGAGATAATTATAGATTTTCACGAGATCGTTATTAGAACAGGAACGGTTCTATTTGCGAATTTTAACGAGAGTGCATATCTTTCGATATGCAAAGTAATTCAACAGTAGCACACACGGCCTATTCCAGAGTCCGTTGATCCGGTATGCCGGTAAGGCCCAATATAAAATGTATTGACTCTTGATATATCATTCCCTATATTCCGTACGTTTACCGCAAGCAGCATCGCTGAAATCGATGTAGACCTCGAAATTGAAATATTTCAGTCTTGAGCGTAGAAGTATTATTATTCACGTGTGTTCAGATTTTTTAAAGGACGTTTCCGCGAATGTATTAGGTAGAGTATCGTAGCGAGTTGATATTCGAGACGTTGTGCTAATGTAATGCAACAATTGTCTATGATACGGGTGTGCATAAGCATGCATTCGCGTAGTTAACCTGTTTCTGGTTACAATTTCCCCTCCCCCCTCTCCCCTTTTCTGCGAGAGCGACTTGGAATGACGATGGAAGAATGTAAAAGTGATATTCCTCCTTATACTACGTGTCTTTCTATTTTCGGTATCATTACGGTACATTGCCACGGTATCGTTTGCGTTTGTCGTTGTCTGGAAGCATTTTATATTACATCCGTCTTACGGCTCTGTTTACTTGGAATGGTGCTTGCGTTGTTACGTTCCTTATGATAATGACCAACTTTGCATTTTTTGCATGATATTACGTTTCATATATTCGTACTATATTATGTGTATATTATATTTTCTCGACATATATTTATATACTTCAATTTATACTAAACTACTCTCATGTATTTTAAACGGACAGTTTTTTCTTTTATTCAGATACCTTTTATTCCTATTTATATTTCCCATTTTCATCATATAGTCTATAATTTATGTAGGTTATTTAATTAGAGAATTTTTTTTATGTAGATGTAGTAATAATTTCTCTCTCTTTCTCTCTCTATTATTATTATTATTATTATTATTATTATTATTATTATTATTATTATTACTATTATTAAAGATGCATGTCCTTTACTTTCTATTATTTTCTTAACTAAATATCCTAAATTTTGTTTCCTTGATATATTTAACATTGCTTGAATTCCTAATAAAATTAAAAGTAGATAATTGCGGCAAAATCCATTCTCGTTTATTTTTATACATAACATATATACATAACATCGTCAATTCAAGTAATTTAGTCGTAGTCTTAATGGATTCCGTAGTATATAACACTGTTACAATTTTCAGCAAATTGTGTAAGTATATAATCTAGTTGAAAGAAAGAGATGCATGCATTACACAATTATTAACACATTAGGTAAACATTAATTTAGTCATTGCCATTCGTATTCGTCACCGTTTATATCGCAGTAAAGTATCGATCCAATATTTGAATGTATATAGGGAATGACTGTTCAAATAAATAACCTGTCATATCATATATATTTTTAGACCGAATTGATAAAAGATAAAATCGTGGCGGGGCTGTGAAATGAAAATCGATATCGTTTGACGGTTTTACATGATATTATCTTTAGGAAATAACGGGATAACGCGGGATAAATTGCGTATTACTCTCAATATTCTGCAAATTAAATCAAAAGGAATTTGTAATAAATTTGTAATATAGCAATGATTACATATCGATGTACCCTGTTCTTGTTTTTAGCCATTATCATTAATTATAGAAATGTAGAATCTTTGTAACGTGCACGGGCGCGACTGCGACGTGTCTCGCAAATGTCCTCGACGAGTCATTATCGATTTAATGGCCGTGTTTTAAATTTTACGGCGTCGTGTCGTTGCGAGTTCCTAAGAAGAAACGAGATGAACGGTGACGGAAACGAGGGGGCATCGCGTAAAAATTCTGGCGGATACGAATTCGAGCGACTGGAAGAGTTCTAAGCCAATTGGTTCGTATTTTTAGTACCTCCGAGGTGGACCGTGGAACCTATCGACCAGAACGCAGTTGTAGGTCACGGCGTCTCCATCGCCTGTCAGGCCGAAGGATTCCCCATTCCGACTGTGACTTGGAAGCAATCTATCGGTAAGTCACGACTCCTTAAAGGTGGGATCTCGGAGATAACTCTCCTCCCTGTACCTCCGTTCTCAGCTACGTTAGCCGAGAGATGTATTACGTCTCCGACGTGGCGCGAGAAATGAGAACGCTCATTCGCACCTGATCTCTCTTAAGTATAAAACGGATATTCTTAATAGAAGAAGACTCTCAATTTTTTAATAGAAACTGGAACAGTTAATTTTCTGACGTTTTATCTGTATTATAAATAATCTACAAATATAAATGAAATATTTACATCACAAATCATTTTTAACGTATATATTCGAAAATGCATTTTTTCAAAAATTTACATTGACTTGATCGATTATTTATTCTGAACTAACTTCAAAGTGAGATATGACGTAGATATTATTACATTTTCTAATAATCTCCTGTCGATTAAGCGAGAACTTTGTTTGCACGAGCATTACGTAATTTTCATTTAAGTTACGACGGCGAAAGTGTCGACGGGAAAAAAAAGGACGCTCGGGAAACAGTAATCAATCACGAATTTCGCTGAATCGTCGGTCGTCTCCACGGACGGGTATCCAGTCCGTAGTCAGAAATAAGTCCTATCTATAGATAAAAGTTCTATGGATAGAACTGTATAATTAATTCCGTCAATTCGCTGAGCGTGCAGATTTGATATGACGTACTTTCGCCAGAGACTTTTCTTCTATTTCCTCTCTATTTTTCCTCCTAAATTTCAACTTCGTTTTGGCGCGGAATGCATCCTTCGCTGTTTAGTCTGATTGTATTTTCGCGAGCCAAATCGTTCCTACGTCGGCGGCTACGTCAGTTTGCAAAAAAGCTCTTTTGTGTGTCTTGGCTCAATGCGCAGTTACGTCGCAGTGACGAGATTGTTATCAAATTCCAGAATATTTTTATTAATTTTAATTAACCACAGCTGGAAAACTAGTACACATTTGTCTGTAAAATGCTTTCAGTGAGTTAGTTGTGTAATCGTATTATACGTACATAAACGTTCCTACCGCATGTTATGCGTTACATTCTGATACACGTTAAGCGTTCTCGTTACTCAAATATTAATCCGTAAAAAGTTCTCTCCATCGTCCGAATACGTATCTCAAAGTTGTTGCAAAAAAAAAAAAGACGAGATATCCCGTGTGGATATTTGTGTTTTTCATCATTCACTATGTATCTCGTGAAGGATGTCGGGGAAGCATCGATCCAACGCGCTGTCGAGCGATGTACGCCATGCAGACAGTAGTATCGAACGTGAAAAAAGAAAGCGCTATGTCGGGGAAAGACGTTTCGGTACGTCACGTCCTGTCACGATTCATATTAGTTGCGAACAGCGTAGAACGGAGCATCGTGGTTTTATTAAACCTTGTGTAATATTGTAACTACCTGCCACTAGGTCGAGTGCACAAACGCAATTTGCATCGGTCGAGAATGCCGCCGACGAGAGACGAGAATGCTGCCGTAAGAGTTTCGAGACATAATTTCTCGGAAGACTCCTGCGAAAAGACTGATTACTCAAAAGCGGCGCTTTCAAAATGTTTGGTTTACCTTGCACGGGAGAAGCTCTCGCGAAGTAAATCTTTACCGTTTGAAGTTATGTGGGTGGTATATACTTTGATACATCTTCCGCCCGTTCGTTTATTTATGAAAAGATAGAATAAGCGAATAAGGAAAGGTCTACGAGGAAAGAGATTCCCAAGCATACGCTTCGTGTACTCGTATTTAGCCTTCGACGCGTTATGTTTTCAAATCATTTAGACATTCATGTATTCAGAAATGCGTTTATAGAACATCTCGCGCGTTTAAAGAACTTTTTCCGCGTTATTTCTTGGCATTTAAATTGGTATACAACAGGATGTTTTGTAATAAGGCGTAAACAAGGTGATACTTCATGCCGTGAGCTGGGAAATAATTTTTCCTCCGGTAAAACTTAACGTTATTTTTTTACAGTCTATAAAGTTTGAAAATTAAATATTCTAGCAGTTGAGTATGCCTCCAAATCAAAACGCTGTTAAAGTAAAGTTTACCTGAAATTACGCGAAGAATAAGATTTTGTTATCTATCACGCGCATTCATGAAGATCTTTCCTCCTGAAATATCTGATTCTTTTCTTTATTTTAGTTTCTGATGAGTCTAGAATATCTACCGATATAAAATATAAACACGTTGTACAGCGACTTTTTGTTGTACAATAACTAAGGATGCGTGAGAAGTGAAAATTCCACAAATAAAACAGTAAAATATAAACTTCACAATGTACTTTATTTTTAATATGGCACTAGAACAGAATAGAATAAAATGGAAAGAATAAAGAGAAGTCCCAGAAAATAAATATATCAGTAGTGTCAACTCGAAATAAAAATGTTTATCATCATGGCAGACGGATGGCATCGTCCAATTAAAGCTGGAAAATAAAATACCAACAAATTTTAATTTATGCTCTTCCATGAAAGTTTATCCTAGAATTGCGTAAACGTAGTTGTAAGCAGAAAATACATCTTCTTAAAGTATTTAAAATACGAAATACAAAATACTTTCAATTTAAAAGTCTAAAAATATTGCATTTCAAATCGAAAGATTGAAAATATTTTGTATTTAGTAATTAAATATTAAGATTGTCAATATTTTGTATTTTGCATTTTAAATACTTTAAGATGTATTTTATCAAGTCGTGATTGTTAGGATAGAATTCATAGACGTTGTTCAAGATTCGAGATGGTCTTAAGCTAGTGCTCGAGATATCGTAAACCAATCAGAGAACCGTATTAAATCTTAAGACGATGCTTGCGAGATTTTCTTGAGATTAAGAACGGACTATGGATCTAAGTGATTGTAGTTGTAAGAATTGACTAATCACAGTCGAATATTCTATTCATATCAATTCTTACAACTTATAACTTATGCAATTATATGTAGAATGGACTTTACAAGAAGCCCATGGAGTTCAACGTATGGTAGTAATTTTCCGCGAACATGTCTATTATGCAGAAACGTAAAGATGTATCCTTGCACATTTAGGTGAAACTCCGGGTGACTACAGAGAGCTTGGATACGGCACGGAGGGCGCCGGGGTGGCCAGAAACGGATCCCTGGTGATCCCGCGGGTATCGCGGGATCACGCCGGATTCTATCTATGCCAGGCGAGCAACGGCATCGGGCCTGGCCTCAGCAAGCTCATTCGGCTAACGGTTCATGGTAAAATATTCACGAAACCTAGAGTTACCGTCGCCGTCTGGATCCTAGATCCAAGATAGTATCCGGGATTTGGTTTGGGTCGCGCTGGATCATGCGAAGTGATCGAAACTGGGTAGTTATTTACAGCCGCCGCTGTGAACATTAGACGAAAAAGTGTCGTAAATTTATATAAAAAATTCTCTCTCTCTCTCTCTCTCTCTCTCTCTCTCTCTCTTTGAAATTATCTTTGGAGATTTTGTAGACGGCGATATGTAATGCAACAGTCATGAATTTAATAAATTTGTTAATTTGAATTTGCACACACACGGGCATGTCCGCCGGAAATTCAATAGCATTACTACAATATTCGTCACTGGATAATTGCTTCGCATCACTGCATGAAATCCTCTCTGTGAGAGGTTACACACACGGCATGCACAAACACACGCGCTATTCGGAATAGCATCATGCGTCGATAATTGATCTTTTTTTTTTCTGGCTACGAAATAAACGAGCATTCAACAAAGTACTGTAGATTGGCCGTGCGATTTCGACGCAAACAAAATTGAATCGCTCGTTTATAATTACAAAAAGGTACATTTGTGAGTTATAGCGAAAATTGCTTTTATTGTCTTGTCTTGCGTTTGATGTTTATTGTGCGTGCCGTGAGTGCCGTGCGAAATTTTTTTCATGAAAAATTCTCACTTTTCACTACAGCGGGCCCCCAGGTAACAGTAAGGACGAGACAGGAATCAGTGCGACGAGGAGAGAGCGTAATATTGCGCTGCGAGGCCGAGGGAGACGCGCCTCTTGATCTTAGTTGGCGTGTTCGTGACAGCAAGATCGATCCTAATTACGACGTTAGGTTCGTATTGGAATTAATTATGCGTCTTTCGCGTGAAAGCTCACAGGTTTGAAATGCGCATACCGTTTGACGGAAGTACCATTCTAACGCTACCTTATCATCGTACATTAAATTCACGAAACGTTCAAATCGAAAACAAACTAAATTCGTTATTCGTAGAATCCTCTTTAGATACGAAATCTGTTTGAATAACTATACGTATTTAGAATTCTATTTTATACATTAAAACGAATAATATATATTGAAACTATACAACTACATTAAGCGGCAGCAGCTTATTTGTAAATATAACAAATATATATGTATATATTCTGTATTTAAAATGGATTTTACAAATTATTTCAACTTTTCACATGTTACAAGTCTATCTGTAATTGTTAGACTATTCCAAGTACCTATAATGCATTTTACATAACAAAACACACAAATTCCATTTTTAAACCATTATACGTATATATAGAGTAAAAGACTTCTATTGCCGCAGTAAACCATCGCCGCTATTATATATTCGATGTGAAAATGACCAAACTTCGCTACCATAACCAATTATTTGATATTACCTCAAAACCTATTTTGTTAATAACGAGGAAATTGTACCAAGCAAATTTGTTCGTAAAAGGATTCGTGGACTCGTTAATTTATCGCTAAAGCAAAGTAGTCTATCCCTGGGAAAGTGCAGTTTACCGGTGTAACATTGCTATTTTGATGGCGAAATAAGAATTAATTTGTTATCACAATGAAATAACATCCGTCGAGAGATTCTGGAAATCCCTTCTAATTTCATCTATTAAAAGTAATATCCTTGACCGACATCTCGCTGTAGAATATTTGACGAAATTCCTTACGACGATAGACGAAGTAATCAGCAGATTATCCCTCTTCATAATTAATCCACCTTATAATTAAGCGCAATAAATATAATTTAGCGTAATTCTTACAGAAATTTCAAACTCGAGCCTCTCTCTCGCCGCGAGATCGCCGCATATCGATTAATCGCGTAACCGCTTTGCTCTCTGGTCCAGATACGCGGTAGACAATACGGCGGACGCGTCAGGACGTGTCACCACCGAGCTGCGGATCATCCAGGCGAGCCACATGGACCGCGGTGACTACGTCTGCGTCGCCGCGAATGCGTATGGTCGCGACAAAGCGATGATCCACTTGCTCGTGCAGGAGCCACCCGATTTCCCACGCAATCTGCACGTGGCCGAGCAGGGCAGCCGGTCGATCCTGCTGGCCTGGTCCTCGCCGGCGACCGATCGGGACGCGAGCCACGTCAGCTCGCCCATCACCAATTACATCGTGCAGTACAAGGAGGCGCAAGGTACAGACTATTTCTCCTTTCGTTTTACCTTTTTCGGCGTACGCGCGCAAACCTTCGGTCCCTATCGATCGAAAGTCGAGAGCATCTCGTTATAGATCGTTACGTTCCTGGCCGATGACACCGACGGCACATTGACTGCCACATCATGTATAAATCAAGTTTATTGTTAGAATAGAATATTGTTTCTAAATTACAATAAATAAATTAAATTGTTTCTAAATAAAATAAAATAATAAAATAATAATAAAAAAATATTTCTAAATAAAATAATAAAGTAGAATAGTTTCTATAAATTAGGTATAATTTTTAAATTGACATTTAAGCTTTTCATTTCATCAATTAGGATATCAATTATAATTGGACAAGATATCAATTATAATTAAAAAACGTATAGAAACAATTAAAATTAGACATTGGAAATAGATTGCCATAGTTTTGATGCCAAAAGTTTATGATTAATTATGATAAAAATAATAGAGACATTTCAAAATTGTATGACACAAATTTCAATATAAAAACTCATGGTTGACTATATGATTAAAATAATGGAGGGTACTAAAGTCTTAATGTTTCAAATGGATATAAAAATTTTAATGTAGATTTTCTCGAACCTGCGATAGTTACGACAATGTTACTTTGCCGGAACCAAGTAATATCGCATTTCTTTTCAAGCTACGTCACACGTTTGCGTGCAAATAATATTCTTTATTTTTATTTAATTTACATTATAATGTATAAACAGCGAATATAAATGTGAATTAAGCGAAAAATAAAATTGCCTTATGCAAATCGTACAATTCTCTAAGAAAACGCATTCGCGTCTAAATGATGTGGCGGTGAATGCGCCGAAACCGAGATACTTTCTGCGCTTTTACAAATTTACAACAATAAAAAAATTCCGATTTTAATTTCCACGTTCTGATCTAGTTCCCCGATCAATAGTTTATGCGTGGATGCGCGTAAATATGGAAGAGATTAAAAACGTTTGTTTAATTTCCTATTTACTGTTGGCATACGCGATTAATCCCAACGGCTGATGTAAATAACGCGTTAAAGCAATGCATATTGGTGAAAATAACACCACATTTTTTTGTGCTTGCTCGACCGATAGTTTGAAGAGAGAAAGAGAAAAAAAAAAGAGGAAGAAATATCGATGTACAGTGTACGGTTTATTGCGCCCCATTACATTCTCGATCCATCGTCATTATATGTATATACGCGCGTGTTTCACAGTGCGCTTGGCATTTCTATCATTCGGCGCGGAATATCATATCGCAACGTTAAAGTTAACACTACGATGTCTTCGGTAAAAGTATTCCATTCGTATTCGGGAACAACGCTGTGGCTTTTGCCATCTCGCGGGGAATCATTAATCATTTATCCCTTCACGTTGCTCCACGTCTCCCGCTATATTCGTTTTAGGATTTTAGGCGCTACATTTATTTTGGATTTATTTCATGGCTTTTATCCGACCCCGCCTGTTTTCTCCCGTTTTATCGGCGAACCCGCCCGTCAGCCGATATTTAAACAAACGCCACGTTCGAAACGCTCGAAATTCCATTAACACGAATAACATAATGTGTATCTCATTAGTAAATAATAACTCAATCCCGGAATATGTGTATCTCACCCGGTGAATGTCTATGACGAAGTATTAAACTGTCTAATTTCCGAGCCACTCAAAGCAGTAATTTTAGAATAAAATGTACGCGAAAAATAATTTTTCATATATATGGAAAATCGTAGGATGAATACGATATGCTTTCCTGAAACATTGACAGATATCGCGTTATGTATATATTTTAGAAATTGATTAATTTAAAAAATGTAAAATAAATTGACGTGTATGTAAATATTATTTCCATTTCAGTATCACAGATTGCATTTAATCCTGTATGGGTATACGTTTAAAAATATCTTGTTTGCGATAATATCAGGAATAATAAATACTAATGAAATGTATTAAGAGAATTATATACTAATGCATAATAATTCATTCGATTATTTAATGAAGAATATATTTAACGTTTTTGCTTAGCATTTTTATTAGATAATTTAACATTTTATCTAAACGTTTCGTGTTCTACGGAGTATAAACTCTAGTAAATGCAAACTGAATATTTTCCCTCGTAATGTGCTGTTTTGTAACGTCGCTCCAAGATGCACGCGTGCAACGTAACGTGCAGTCGCATGAGCTGCGGCTGTCAAGAGCAATGGTAATTACATCGCTGTGTCCCTTGTAAACTCACGTTGAGTTGATTCTATATAATAGCGCCGCGAATTCGTTCGTGATTCGTACAACCATGTAATACGCATGCCCGCAAGAGCAGCTCCGTTCTTTGACGTTCTCTTTCATGTGTTTGCGTTCAAAGGAACACGATTTACGTTTCTCATTGATCAATTCGTTTGGAAAAGGATCCTGCGCCGTTAAACATTCCGTTTCTATCGCGGGCAAACTTGCTAGCGTTTCACAGAAGATATTTTGATCTTTCTTCGGCATGAAAATGTATTAATTCATATCGTTCGTTTGATACAATAACGGTACAATTTAAAAAAAAATTAACATAATAAGATTTCTGCTACATGAAAAGCCCCAATATAATTGAGGCTAGATTTTAGTGCCTAGTAATAATAATAATATTTTCATTTTGTAAACTCTATATATATATATATATATATCTTTCAATTGCATAAAATATATGCTATTTACTGCCGAATTTGAAATGCAATCATAAAATGAAGCTTAAATAATGTCATTACAATTAAATTGATCGCCAATTTGCTAATGATCAAACATAATTGAATGATTCAAAATGAAATGATTCTAAAAACGAAGTTTATCAGAAAATGAATTTGAATGTTTCGAATTATTAAAATTTTGAAAGTTAATTTTGAAATGTAATTTCGGGGTGATTACTGATTATACAGAGGAATAAAAGAGTATGCTCCGTTAAATTATCTACGTTCTTACTTTTTTCTTTACTACGTACGTTTTTATCCTTTTCTGTAAGCATAACTAAAGCATGTCTAAAATGACAACAAATTTCGAGCTCTTTATCATTATTGTAGCAATAAGCGATATTATTTAAATCTCGACGAATTTCGTGTCTCTTTTTCAACGGCCTTTTTTAAATTTGCAAATTAAAACTATTAAATTATTAAATTCGCATGATCGTGCGTTGTCGAAGTTTCTTTTATGGAGATAAAGTATAGAGGAAGCGCTTTATTTTCCGAAGCATATATATACGTAGCCGGCATTTCCGACGTTGGCGGTTTTCGTTGCGACAGCCAAGACAAAGTTTTCTGTAAAGTCGTTTGCGAATCTTCCTTCTCCGCGTCTTTGTTTTACAAACCTCTCCCTCGACTACCGGGGGCCACCTCCCCACTCACTCGCCCTATTTTCATGCCACAAACTTCTCTTTGAAACGCCCCTTGCCCTGGCCGCTCGTTAACTTTGGATGTCCTCATTTACGCCTAATCGACTCGAGTCTCCCCGCCGGGTGTTAAATTATCGAACTTAACGCACGAAGGGACATGGAAGCGTCGTGGTGTTAACGCGCATAAAACATGTTCTTGAGGCAAGCACCGTCGAGAATTATTATCGCTCTTACCAAAATCGAGTCTCGCGAGGATCGAGATTGCCGAGGATACCGGCGAAACGATGATAAATACTCGCCCCCGATATGTCCTTTCGTATAATGTACCTCGCAAAATATATGTATTACGTATTATCTCAATATTGCGAATGAATTATTTTAATGTCCGCGCGCGTATTAGATCTCTAAAGTTGCGCGCATCTCTAAATTACAGATTAAAACTAGAGATAATCTACATCTCTCCGAGATCTCGCGCTTCCGTTGCGAGTAATAGCTTCGAATTAATTTCCAACTGAATCGTCATTGTATGTACGTCTGATATTTATTGCCAGTTATCTTTGCACGAGTTTGTACGGCTCTCATCCTCCATTAAAATGTCATTCGCTTGATCGATCCGTCCACTCATCACATACGTCTTTGCGGGCAACTGTTAAACTACAAACTCTCACATCGCGGAGAAACGAAATAGGTTTATCGATCAGAACGTACGCGTTGTACGAGTTAATCATACCGTCGCGTAATCGGTCGCGTCGGAACGTCCGGAGAATTTTCGCGGAGGAGATACATCTCGCCTCGCGAGACTCGTCTCGCGATTACGCTTAAGAGATCGTACTGCATCCTTCTAAGCGTTGTTGCCTTTTGCTGGAAAGACGTGTGGCATGAGCACAACACGCAGAAGCTGGTAGCCGGAGACAACACGGTCGCTCGGGTATCGCCCCTAAAACCCGCGACTACCTACCACTTTCGAGTGCTTGCGGAAAATCATCTTGGAACATCAGCGCCAAGCGACATCCTTCATGTCAGTATCAAACATTGTCGAAAGACAAAGAATAGAAAAAAAAAAAAGAAACACACACAAAGCATGATCGAAAGAAAAAAAAAAAACTTTCACATTATCACGAAGTCATTATTAATAACGTTGCGTTAACGTCAGACGGATTGTTTTTTTTTTTACGTACGCCGTTGGGGGCGTCTCGAAATTTTCGAAACAGGTACAAACGGACGGTGAAGTACCCGGTGGACCGCCCAGGCACGTCTCCGTGGAGCCCCTGGGCCCGCAGCAGCTCAAGATCACGTGGCAACCGCCGGATCGATCCCTGTGGAACGGCGAACTACTCGGATACACCATCGGCTACACCAATCTCGGGTATCGTTATCTGCTTACCGCTCTTGAACTACAGTAGTTTGCGGCGTTTAGCGTCCATCACTTCGAGCCCAAAGCCCTGAACAACGATCGTGATGATCTCTCCATTCGCACGGAGGGATACGCAGCAAATTCATATAACCGAGTTTAAATCGCGCGACACGTTATATCTTCGGTAATATTGATTTTGCGAGAAAATATTTTACGGTGAAAACTGAAGCGACGTGAGGAAGACGCGTTTCAGAAAGAAAATTCGCTGTGATAATCTTTATACGTATTATTTTCGCGAGATACGCCGAGATAGATAATTTTAGACGTATTTACTTTCTAATAAAATTATTAATTATAAAATTGTTGAAGATATTCATATATATATTTATAGCATAATTTATTTATATAAGAAATTGGCTTATGTCTCGTGTAAGTTATAAGAGTTTATTTATAGAAATTTATAATTATTACCTTTTAATGTCAAGTTGATTAGAATTGGATTTCTATAAGGATATAAGTTATCTCTCGTCATTTTGATGTCAAAAGTTATCAGTACTATTATTATCATTATTATTATTATTATTATTATTATTAAAATAACATTTTTTTTATAACAATGATAACACGTTATGACTTAGATAATAAACTTTGTTCTTTTTTTAAATTAGATTCCAAAATTTTTTTGTCTAAAAACCAAATTTATCCTTTTATTGAGAAAGAAAAACTGTCATGACAAAAATCGTTCGCAATGAAACTTTTTAAATTAGACATGGTAATATTTGCGCTGTGATATTTTATATCAGAATAATTGGATCATACTTTGATAGTCCGGTCGCGCAGAAAGAGAGAAAGTACCAGAAATTCTTAAAATACCTTTTGTCCGAGTCTCCATAGTTATATTCCATTGAATTTTGAGATTGTTACTACCTCCATTATATTTGAATCGGACGGCGGAACGTAATAAATGCGCACGATAAGGACAATTTCCGGTAAACTTTGGCGACGGCGACTTTCGTGCCAAGGATTTCCCGTTCTTAGACAGCACCAACTTTGCGAACAATAGGATGTATAAGAGAAGAAAAGATGGTTTATATATTTTAATGCGTACTCTGTCTGTTTGTTACTCTGTTAACTTTTGTCACTAGAAGTCGTTCAGCTAACACCTAACAACAAGAGTCTCTATACAATTTAAAAGTTATAAGAACGGGAGATTCTGTCTTCCTCTCTTCTAAAAATAAAACTTTTCCAATCGATTATTTACAAACCAATTTAATGGTTTCTCTTCTTGACACACTTCCTATTCGCGCGGTTGACACATAGACTTCAGTGCTGTGTCGATCGTCTTCGTGCTTCTCTTCGCGTTATCTTTTTTCGCTTCAACGAATCGTGGTTTCGCGGCTTTATTTCAGAGGAGATGATCAATTGACGAACACGACGCGAGTAGGGATCACAGGAAATGGGGACGGCTCGCACGATTACAGGCTGACGGGTCTACGAAAATATACCCAATATAGCATAGTAGTAAAGGCGTTCAATAGCAAAGGAGATGGCCCAGGATCCGATCCTGTGACGGCGCACACATTCGAGGACGGTGAGTGAGTTTTCGTTTATCGTGGGATTTTGTGTTAATAAAAATATCTGGCACGTTAAACAAAGCAATTACGGTGTGCCGCTTTGAGGTAGTCTCTTTGCATTTTGATTGCGAGCTAAATGTAATTGAGAAATGCAAATGATGAGATCAAGTTTCATATCACAAATTAATATCGTAATTTAAAGTTTGTCACATATACCATATTGATCCACAAACATTCAATACGATATATAATGCATAACGTTCAACAACGGCAATCATTTGCGTAACGATATTGGGTTATGGAACGAGCTTTTACGCAACTCAAACTAAATTGCTACAAAAGTCAACATTGACAATAATAATTTTGGTTGAATTTTTTTGTTTTATGATTACCTAAATTCTGTCAGATTGAATTCTGTTTTAACCTAAATCATAATTTTTGCAATCGAGATTCTTTTTTCTTATAATTTTCTTTGTAACATAGTTTTGATTAAATTTTAAATATATTTAGCTCACAAAATTGGCCAAATTTGTATTTTCCTATACAAAAATTTTAACTAATTACAAAAGGAAATAGATACATAAAAATAAATTTTCATAATTATTCTCAAATTAACTGTATCCGTTATATTAATTAATTTGTAATGCAGAAATGTAAACTGCAAATCATATTCTAAGCCGCGAAAAAAGAATTAAAATAAAGTAAATAATAATATTAATTAATTTATATAAATGATTTTACATATTATTAGAAAAAAACACAAATAAACATTTCTGACATTATATAATCCTGTAAACAATTTTTTTATAATTTTCGAAACACCTGTCTCCCAATCTCGTGAGTCACTGCGAGTTCTGCGAGTCTGCGGGCGATAACCAATAACATAAACTCGAAACCACATTTTTCGACACGTCAAAGGAGTAATAACGCTACAGCGATTTACGGTACCGATTTGACATAGTTCCAAGTGCGCCACCGCAGAATGTAGCTTGCGCCGCACTGAATGGTCAGAACATCCAGGTGACCTGGAAACCACCGCCTTCTGACAAAGTTCACGGGGTCGTGCTGGGGTACAAGCTGCTGTATGAAGCCGCCTCGGACTCGCAGACCAGCAGGGAAACGAAAGTCAGTCATGCTCTCAGTACGGTTCTGCATTCCCTCAGCCCGTATACCAACTACACGGTGCAGGTACTCGCATATACCAGGGCCGGAGACGGTGTCGCGAGCAGTCCTGTGTCTTGCACCACCGGCGAAACCGGTAATACCACTTAGATTACTTTTTGATATTGTTGTATAATTTATAGCTTATTTTCGGTGTGATTCGGTTTATTTGAGAGAGTATATTTATAGTATATTTAATATTTCCCGAACGTTTCAGAAGTTTCAAACAAAGTTGGAACAGGTCAATAATCTATGGGGTTCTTTTATAAATACATTTTATGTTTAATGTAAATGTTACGTAATATATGCTGCGAGCTATTCTATTTTAGAAATTTAAGAATTATAATTTCGATTAAATGTATTACATAATCTCGATTAAGGCTATTTCTAAGGTTCAAGCTGCAATTATGCACATTGAAAAAAAAGAGTTTAATAATAATTACTAAATACTCTGTAAAATAATTCCAATCAATTTGGTTAATATAATCAAAAATAATTTTACTTTTGTAAATATGTTACCAAGTACTTTCAGATAGTTAATCATATTATTATGTTTGTGTCTGATAATACTTATTAAATATTATAGAAGAGTAAAATTAATTTTGGTTACATTGATTATTTCACTCATTTGGTAGATATTTTACCTGACTCTTTTTTCAGTGCACAAATTAACTCGCATACGGCAGCAAGTCTTACAGGATAATTCTTACTCTCTTTTGAAGCTTTTCCTTGCTATAAGTCATTGACGACTAAAGAATGGCATTCTGCCGACAGTTCCCGACGCACCGGAACGCGTAAAGGCGGTGGTCAGCGGTGAGAACGCCGTCGTGATATCTTGGTTGCCGCCGCGACGGCCGAACGGGTTGCTCATTCAGTACACCGTCTATATCCGCGTGTTGGAACAGGGCCAGGAGGTGAAGATCACCAAAAGCATTCTACCAGCGCAGAATCTGCATCACGAGGTAACCGGATTGAAGCAGCACGAGACCTACGAGGCGTGGGTGACTGCGTCGACTAAGGTCGGTCAGGGTTCCAGCACTCCCGTCATCAAGCTTCAACCCAGCACCACCGGTAAGTTGCTCTTCGAGGGATTGAGAGAATATTGAAAAATTCCTCGCTTTTACCGTAAAATTCTATCGTGTTGGATGCTCCGTGAACGTATCGATATAACTTTTCATTTTTGTCGAGTTCCGAGAACACTATACAACTGCTGAAACGCGCATCGAATATTATATGGGGGGGGGGGGAGAGGGTGTACAGCTTCATAGGAAGGATGGTCCATATTCCATAAAGGAAAATGCTCTTTGACGTATAGCATGCTCCACGATCGATAACGAACGTAAGCATGGTATTTGTGACTTTTCGATAATACCCACATTTGCGGGGGGAGATATAACGGAGCATAAATGGCGTGAATAGAAACTCGTAACGAGGGTCCTTTAATTAGTTCCAGCTGCTATAATATCATACGGTGTGCCCATCGTGGTACCGTGGCGAGTAGACGTTAATATGGCTTGCCTCGTCGTCGGCGATCCTCGGCCGAGCGTCGAGTGGCGACGTGCTGACATGAAACTGCAACAAAAGTAAGTGCGATCAAAACGCGTAGCGCAAACATGGTGGTGGAATGTATGTTTCACGGGACGAGTTTTCCAGATCCGACGTGGGGCCAGACAATACCTTAACTTTGAGAAACGTGCAGAGAAGTCATGAAGACAATTATTCCTGTCACGCGAAGAATTCGCTTGGCACGGACGAAATTACATACACGCTGCATATACAGGGTAGGTCGGCGCAAGTGAAATCATTAAGACCGCCGCTAGTCAGACTCTCAAACGTGATAAGCGCGTTCATTGTGTGTGAAATTTTGCGAAATTTTTTTCCACTGCGAAAGTAACGTCTTCACCTTGCGAAGATAATTCGATTTAAAGTTACGTTGGAATCTTTCTAAAGCGGCGTCTACAATAAGATGTAAAACTTGAGTTTTAAACCTTAAACTGTAAGAAATTTACCAGTCATAATCGATTTTCCTCACATTCGATCACTGTGATTGGTTCAATTCTTAAGGGAGCTTTAAGTTTTACGCATGATACCTCGTTGTAAACGCCGTTTATAAAGAAAGCGTTATAACAACTTCCTAACAGAAATGTAACCTGAGCTTTAGAGCTTTATTATAACTTAATAAATATTAGAATTATAATTTCGACTAAACGTATTATGTAATCTTGATTAAAGGTACTCATGCTAAGACTCAAACTGCGCACACAAGTTCGTGCGAGAGAGAGTCTTACAGGATAACTCCTACGAATTCTTATTCATGCGCGAGAGAAGCAAAAGCGAGAGACGTATCTCTCACTCGAAGAGCGAATGTCGGATGGTGTTTCGCCGACTCTCGAGCTAAGTTCTAATTGGTAAACTTTATGCATAGTGCCGCCGACGTCGCCGACTCTGTTGGCGACCGGCACGACGACCGACGCTATCCAGCTACAATGGAAGCAGGGCGACAACGGTGGCGCGCCTATTAAGGGATTTCTCCTAGCTTATCGTCGGGAATTTGCTGAATGGGAAGAGGTCATGCTAGACCGACGAGAGAGCACGCATCTCCTTGAGGGTTTGCAGTGCGGCACGCGATACCAGTTCACGCTAGCGGCGTTCAACAGGATCGGAAGCGGCAGCGCGAGTGACATACAGACGGCGAAGACCAACGGCTCAAAGCCGGTTCCGCCACCGAAGCATCACTTCGTTAGGCCGAATCAGACGTTCGTTATTCTAGAATTGGCGGCCTGGCAGGACGGCGGATGCCCGTTGACCTACTTTGTCGTGGAGTATAGGAGGCTGCCCGGGGATTGGCTGCTCGGTAAGAACCTGTAACACTTACGGAAAGTTGATGACGAAATGAAGAAGAGAGGACCGATAATTGTCGCGAGCGTAACGTTGATCATGCCGAATTAATTCTAAAATCGATATCTAGAAAATTTCTGTGAGAAATGCTGACAGTATTCATTTCTCGTGTACACGTATTAATCGCAGTGTCATTCATACAATATTATTAACATTAATTATTTTATATTAATATAGAAATATTGACATCTAGAAAATATTGGAAAAATGCTCTCGTGATTGTTTTAAGCACCCATCAATTATATTATCAATATACTCGAATGTCAATAATTAATCAGATTTTATCGGTAACGTATTGCAGTGTCCAACAACGTGCCACCACAGTCGAAATTCCCCATCGTAGATTTGGAGAGCGGCACCAGCTATGAGCTTCGCGTGACGGCTTATAACAACGCCGGTTCCACCCAGGCCGAGTACTTGTTCAGTACGCTGTCATCGAACGGAAACAACCGTTTGCACGAGGATCATCCGCAGGAGAGCGAGAACACTCCGCTGTATCTCGACGCGCACGTTTTGGCGCCCAGCGTCATCTCTGTTCTCGCTGTCATGCTGGCGATCGCCGGAGTGTGCTTTTGCCTCAAGACACGTGAGTATGAGCTGTCGAAGTCCGCTCTATTAATTTACGTCGCGAGCGCGTATGCCCCGAGCAAGCGAAACCAGCGAACACGAGCTCCTGCTGTACGGGATGCAGTTTTCCATGTTGTAAAAAAAATCTGTCGGCTGCCGTTTATTTTCGCGTATTCCACTTGGTACACATTGTAACGATTCCGCCGTGAATTGGAACAAGGGGATGGGGGATGGGACAGTCTAGATGTTTTATTTTTTCGTCAACTACCCTCGATATCAGGTACAATGTCAACAACAGCAGTCCACGATATCCGCCGCGAGCGTTTGGTTTAATTAAAAACTTCATAAACGAATCACGTAGCCGGGACGTTGCTCCAGATAGACGACGGTCTACTGAAACGAGAATATCTCCCTTTGCATAAATCATTCAAGAAATACGCTCACTCGTACTTATTCGAGTTACCACAGTTTCTTGATATCGTCTGTAACAGTCTGTGTAAGCGGCTTTTTTCTATTCACGAGAGAATGCGCTCAATTTACACAACGATGGAATTTTATATCTTTCTCATACGTGTATTCAGTGTCTGCGTTTTGTAACTTTCATGCTTTCTTAAATACTTTAGAAGTGATTTCTTTTTGCGTTATTAGATTTATTTAACAATGAGAATTTTATTTGTCGAGCATCATAATTACTTTTTCTACATACTTTTCTCATTAGAAATCTAACTAGCCAATTTAACACAGTAATTTACTTATTTTTTAAATATTAAAGATATTAAAGGACTTGAACAAGTGTGCCTTTAATATTTAAAGTAAACAATTTACTTTTAAAATTTATATATAAAAATATTATTAGGCATCAAGTTTCAGCTTCCACCGAATTGGACTTTCTATATTTATTTGATTTATTCATCTAACGACCTAAATTAACTTATTGTTTACTTTTTATCTCTTTCTGAAAATTGAAAAAAAGATAGAGAGTAAATTAAACCAAGATTAAAGTTAATTTTCATGATAGAAATGGACATTATATACATAGACTGAGCACTTTTGTAAAAAAAACTGCAGGTCGTGATCAGAAAGAGAAAGAAAACATATGCATAGGCAAACTATCTTTGTTACTCCTGCTCTTAAACCTTCTCTATTTTTCCTCTGCGACGAGGATAGCATGCCTGAGGCTGATGAAAAGAGGAATATAGTTATCCTTCAATCTCACGCAAGCTCCCATAAGGCGTAATCTATATATATATACATATATGTCTATGATCTGCTAACTCGAGTATGTCGTTTTCAGATCCAGAAGGATCCGGCGGCGCGAACGACCCGAGCTCGCAAACGCAAGCGGCCCTGGATAACAAGCACAACATGGAACAGAGGGAACAGTACTACGCGACCGTGAGAAAACCAGGACAACAGTCACCTTGTCGCGAGGTGAGCGCCCTGGAACGAATACCCGAGTATTCGGAAGACATTTATCCGTATGCCACCTTCAATCTGCCCGAGCAGGAAAATCTTTCGGCGAACCCCATGAGACAGGCGTTCTTCTACGAGCGTAGCGAAACGATGCTGCAAGGTGCTCAAGTACGTTTATTTCTCACAACGATTTACGACGCCGCCGCAACAATCTATCTTACGATTTTTTTGACACCGCTCCCCGTAAATTGTGATGTCTTGGCTGATAAAAGATAAAAGATTTTTGAACTTATGACGCCTAGATGTCTGCCCCGGATAAAGTCACTGCGACTAAAAGTAATCTCATTAACGAAGTTACAGTGCAATGGAAGTAATTACTTTCCTTGCATTAATACTTAAAAGGACCATAAATTGTTCCGCACTGTGTAGAGAACCTTAAATTAGAATCGCCGACATTATTTAATTATTATATGTATGTTCGAATTTAATTACAGTTTGAAATATATTGCGAGAGGTAATATGAAGCAAATGGTTTGTTAAAAAAATTAACTAGACTACAAAAAGAAACAAAGATATTCGATAACAATATTTGATTAATTTATCTTTACCAATATTTTGCGATCGCAAATAAAAATAACGTGATATTATTCACCATATTTTACGAATGAATATTTTAAAGATGACATTTGCGAGAGTCGCATGTCAAACATTTCTCATATTTCTCCCGCAAAGAATCTCATACGGCGGATCGATTGCAGTGCGACGTGGACCAATACACGAAAGTACGTGGTCGAGCGCGACGCAAATCAAAATCGTTCAAATCGGAATCGGAGGAGTACGACACACTGGGCTCGGACAGCGACACGGAGGTCGGCACCAGCAGTCGTACCGAATCATCGAATCATCTGGATGACTCCGGCCCGACGTCGATAATGGCTCGCTCGCCGGGACCGAATTCTGTGAATCAGCGGGAGCAACGGCTCGCCCTGGTGCAGCGACCGGTTCATCATAGTAAGTTAGTATTCAGTTTTCTGTGTCCGGGCCGCGTGTAACGCAGCCTATCACGTAAATCAAGCGCGCAACCACTAATCCATTTCCTGCGTCAACGTCTCGCGTACGTCTTTCTAGATGTGCTGTACCACACGCACGAATCAAGTACATCAACCGAGCCGTCACCAATTTCTGAGAGAAAGACTTTCCCGAGGCTCGAAAAGCAACGGTAGGAACATCAGTAGCGCCAGATTCGCATATTACATTGAGAGAAAAGTTTTTGAATTTGTAATATTATTAGCACATCATGAAATAGAGTTTTCTTACTTATAAATAATACTAGACTAGGGCTCTTTTTTTAAATTATGTATGTTTATATGTATAAACGCGACAGTAAGATTTATACTTATTATATTAATCCTGAATCAGATATATCATTCATTACATTAATTAATTTGTAAAAACGATTTGGTACGACCTACTCGAATAAGTTTTAATTTCTTCCAAGAGTTTTTTTCTTTCAGTGTACTTGAACGACAACCTATTTTCGCAGGAGTCGCGGCGCGATCGACGTCGCGATCGACGGTCGCATTCCCGGTATCCTGCGACCGGTGCTGAAGCTATCGGAGTCCGGAGTGCATTCGTGCTCGCGAGGAGCGTCGCCGAGTCGTCCGGTGCGTCCTGGTTCCTACGACAGACTGGAGAAGGAGCCGTTGAGCACCAGGAAATCCGTCGAATCGCTCTGTCTCCTAGAGGAGCCGATGGGCACGTTCAGAATGATGAGGAGGGACGACGATTGGGGCAGCGAGCTGTCTACGTTGGAATTGAAGCCACCGAGCGGCTTCACCGACGTCCACGAAACCAGTGAGGCCGAGTGTGATATCGACATGAAGCTGAAGTTACACAGGAAACGACCGAGCGGTCTCCACTCAAACAACTCACTCTCCAAATCGCCCAAGGATTTCACTATCACCGTCTAAGTGTTTTAATCAAATATCGAAACCAAAATGAAATTTAAAGGAAGCCAAAGAAGCGAAAGATTTAAATAAGCGAAGTATTGCCAAAGCATGAGTGTTATTAAGTCAAGTAAGTTACGATTTACGCCATTGAGGTTCTTGCGATTACCAACGTCGCTCTACGAATCTAGATCTCTGGATGTTCGTCTTTTGGAGTGACTACTCTGTCAAAGACTTCGTTTACAAATAAAAACTTATTTTTCTAAAAAAAAGAGGAAGGGGTTAGTTGCACCTTCATTTATTCCCATAATCCCATAGTCAAATAATAATATAATATCATAAACAATTCATATATTTAATCATTCTAATTATTCGTTATAATTATATTATCATACTTAAACAATACTTACTTGCAAATCTTGCATCGGACGGATATATTTAGGTTCAATTCAATCAAGAGGAATCGTTCATCGTCGTCAACGTTTTGTTATCGTAGGCAAATTCTTCTAAAAGTTGATTAGCAACAAAAAACTGTACATAGATTTAAGTAAAAAGTATATTGATATATATAATTATATTCGGCTACACCAGATATTGGAAAGAAGTGAAAAAAAGAGCATTTCTACGTTATCCAAAATGCTACGAGGAAATAAAAAAAATGCATTTTTCTTGTTTAGTTATATAACAGTATCTCCCTCATATTCTATTCCATTGTCATATAAAAAAATATTGTTATTTTATATTATTCAATTGATTATCAATTGGAAAAAAATTTCTTTTTTAAGTATAAAAATGAGAATAATTTTCAGAAATATCTTCACATGATTTTTATAACCACTATAGTTGACTAAATCTTCATGTGATTAATGAAATGAGAATTTTTAATTAAATTAGTACTGTCAATAATAATTTATTTCAACATAAAAGCTAATAAAAAAAAAAAGAAATGATCGCACAGATAATTATTAAGAAATCGAATGGTGAAAATAAGATGTTTATAATAATGAGTGCATCGTAGTGAATTTAATTATCACGTTTGCAATAGCGTTTTAAATCTCGCGTGTACAATGCTAGAAATTGGTCCGAGACCTCGAATGAAGAAAGAATTGACCAATCGCAATAGTCATGTAATCATCAAATTGTTCAAATGTGATGTTGTTAATTTTTTTCTCTATCCGAGATCTCGGATCAATTTCTAGCATCGTGAATATCGGGCTTTAGGAAGCAACTAAATTCAGATCGATGCTCATGAAGGCCTATGATGACTCGCTGGTAAGAGTGAAGCTGATTTGACCATTTGCAAATTTCTCGCAAACTATTTATTAGACGTATATGTTCTTAAGCACGGACAATTCTTCTCGAATGAAGCGTACAGTTAAAAAAACGAGTAATACTATCGCACATAATGACTGATATCGCAATCATTATATCCGTTTAAACCTCTCTAAAATTTCTCTGTCTTTTGTTTCTTTTTTTTTCTTTACGTTTTCGTTGAGATACGTACTGTACGTCGAGTAATAGAGTTTGATGGAGACCGCATTAGACCAGCATTTGTATTCTTCGCGGCTCATTGACGCGTGTCGTTTGCCGCTCAATGATTTATAATTAACGATGAGCCACACGTCGCGACAAGGATGACTCGCGTGACGTCGTAGGAACAGAGAAACAAAGCTTTTTTGATTTTTATATTCGCGCTTTAACATGTCACGCGGCTCATCCTCTTTTTCTCGGCGCGAAAATGATCTCTTTCACTCCCGAGCGACGGTCAGAGAATCGATTTGTTAAAAATTCTATCGAAGGCAGTGCGGTCGCTATGCTCGGAGATTTAACTCTTTCGCTACTGGTATAAGATCACCGGTTTCTTCATGAAGTAATGCCAGCGATTGCAGCCCATTTAGATGCCTGCAAATGCATTATTTTCATGCATTTTAGGAGATAATAATATAGTCTTTTCATTTATATACAAACGAAAATACATTTCGGATTAATTATTATAATTGCATGATATTTGCATTTCTCGTGCATTTTCAGAAGATAATAAATACTTACAGATCACCCCTCTTATTTATACAGACAGAAATACATCGATTAATAATTGCTTGATTTCTCTTGCGCCCACTTGTGTGATTGCAGTATTTAATTGCTAAATCACTAAATCTGATGAACTTTTACATTTCCAGCGTAGAAGGAAAGTTTTTAGTTGAATTTTAATTTATTCTAAAAATCGAATACGTCGAAACAAAAAAAAAATACGCCGTCAAAATCTTCTTCAGATGCCATAGCGAAAGAGTTAAGGAAAAGGAGAAAGGAAGGAATGTTCTCGTAGGTACTTGTTTGGCAGTCTTGACTGTCATTTTACGTATTGGCTTCGCATAATTTTTCTCGTCGTACTCGTCGGATATTAATTGGGCATGGCGCGGATTCGTGATACCCGATTGTTTCTCGGGACCCTCCCCTAAAACTTTCCTACTGCTACAATTTTACGTTAGCCGACCTCGGTGTATCAGCAGGATCGATCGTGAATGCACGTTAAACATCGTGAATATACGTATAAACAGCTTTTCCCTCTTTTTACAATTACCGTAGGCCGTAATGCTTACGTTTGGATTGTGGGGAGAGAATTAGCCCCCGTCGTATGTTCTCTGCGCGGCGATTTGTTACAACCCAGATAGCAATTCAAGGAACACACGAAAGTCAAGAAAAAAATTATTAATTAATTTAAATGACTTTATTTCTCAATGTCAATAAAGAGTCAAATTTTGTAGCCAAAAATTATCATTTTGACTTCATCATGACGTCAACATAAAGTCATTTTAACTTTCTCTTGACTTGGCGCATTCCTTGAGAAGCTGACATTATTTGTCGTCGTTTTGACACAATGACGAAAAATAATGTCAGCTTGCTATCTGGGATATAATAATTATAAAATTATAAATCGTGGCAAAACTTATGTACGAAACAATCGAATGTGCTCGAGTGTGATTTTTCACGGTTGTCTATTGAAGTTTCGATAGGCATTCGACATATACATCCTCTGTTAAAACACATCCATTTCTATATATATATATAATATATATATATATATATATATAACACATAAAACCAACTCGGAACGAGACCGTTCGCTTTTCTTCCACGTGTGGTCCGCGCGAATACTACAGTTACAATCGCAGTCTTTATTATACCGAAGATGTAAAAAGAAATCCGACGAACGTGCTAGAGCTCGACCATCCCTTCACGATTACTTTATCATGCGACATTCGAAATTATCCACGATTAATATCGGCGAATCATCTCTCTCTCTCTCTCTCTCTCTCTCTCTCTTTCTCGCAGAAGAGCTCGTTTCGAAATGGGATTAACAAGAAGGAAAATGATTGCCCCTTTCCCGTCAGCAAATAGCCGTTTTATAGTCATCCGGCAGACGAATGACAGGAAAACGCAGTTCAATCGTTATCTTTCTCGTCTCGATCGTGGCGTAGCGGATGACGAAGGAAGGAAAGAGATAGAAATGAAATCAAAAGAGCCAGGGGAGCTAGATGCGAACTAACGGTGTGAAAACGAACGAGACAATGTGTGTGTGCGTCATCTTACAAATATTATGTTGACTAGAGTCTACATTATCTATACACACCACCTATTTTATCATCGACGAATTATACGCGGGCGGCCGCACACGCCCCACCGGATCGTCCCTTCATATCTCACGGCCACTCATACCTCATTAGACGTCTATTTTTCTCTTATCCATTTAGGTACGTACACATATAATCGTGTAATATCGTAAAATACAGTATAGATCGCATCTGTGCACGTACGCGACGAGGTATCGCTCTCTGTACAAATCGCCCGCGGAATTTACGAGCATCGTTTTCTCATTCTATCTCTCATTCTATGGCATCGTCTCGTTGAATCCGATTTAAAGACGGGGCGATTCCTCGCCACGTCCGCACAATTCATCTTACTCTCCGATCGCCATTCATATCATAAATATTTATATATATATATATATATATTTTTTTTTTCTTCTCGAATATTAGCGCGACGAGTTGTGTTCGTGTGAGCTGTCCGTCACTCAGGTGTGCATCTACCACTTCGGCGTGTACATGTATGTATGTGTAAACGTGTATGTGAGTATGTATACAATAATATCGCTTCTCGCTTCCGTTCCTTTCGGTGACTTAAGTTATTACGGCGTTAACTAAAAGACACGTTCTTTACATACATAGTAATCTCTAGTTAAACGATAAGTCAATAGGTTTTGTTCGTACGAATTGGTAATCAATCGAGACTCCCCATGGTTAATCAGATTACACACATCGATCAACGGGTATATTTATCACTTCCGGTGGACAATCCCTATCTCGAAGATTGATCTGTTCGGTCCTTTCTGGAAATGCGCTTGCATTATTCGCATTGCAAGCCTCACATAATTCGGGCGCTACCTCAAGCTTCTTGAAAGAGTATATCCCATGTAGGATTTTACAATCGGCCCAGTGCTGGGCCATTACTGGTTGCCATCGTTCAGGTACTGGTTAAGTATTGGATGATAACTTGGGCCCAGTATTGCTGGCAGGTGGTACTAGCCCAGTCATTTTAGCCAATCATTTATCAGTAATGGCCCAGTATTGGTTGACAGAACCTTGGTCAGTTAACAATCGTAGCGTTGGCTAAATGTTAGTTTCGTTGTAACTGTTGGCGACCCTATATGGGTAATTCTTGTGCGAAAGAAACAGCGATACACCCGATGCTGTTTCCTTCCGCTGAAGATTTCTGTTTTCTCGCTTTCGTGAACTCGGGATTTTCATTCTAATTTTTGCTGAACGACAATCAGTCTTATATGGGCGTTTTTAATCATGATGCAACTCCAGGTATCAACGATAAAGCGATTTTCTTTCTAACGAGCCTATGTGTACCATTCCCGAGTAGCTGATCACAGTGAGCTGACCAAATAGAACGTATAGAGTCACTATTCTCTTTCTTTTCACGCGTATTTTCCGACTTCGGCATTTTGTACTCGTTGCCTCTGCTCTCTCCCTTTCGTCCAGCGATTCTACGTCGTCCGAAGGCGATTAGGGCGGACAATTATATCGGTTTTCGATTATGTACGCACTCGCGTATGACGAAATGAACCTGACGCGATTCGTGAGGAACTATATTTTTTCTTTATCTGTATTTTATCTTTCGTTTCCGTTCTGTGACGCGAAAATCCGAGTCGACTTGATAACGTTATCGATTAAGAATCACGGAAGAACGCCATTCGATAGTATTGACT